GATTTATTACTGTCGTAGAGATAGGCTGAAGGGCTTTAGGGATAATACTTCCACCATGTACCGTCAAGACGGATATGCCAACCGGGGAGATTGGGGGGCCTGCTTTCTTACCTCTAAATGGAGTAACTGCGACAAATCGTTCAACGACTAGCCCATTCATCTAAATGGCGGTTTTATTTTGTTTACCTACGTTCTTCCGCTCTTATCGCGCCATGCCAAAAGCAGCAAGTGGGCTACTTACAGTTTTGAATTGGGCCTTGTAGGCCTTTGGTAGGTTCCTTTAAAAGGGCGCGCCACTTAAAAACCCATTTGAGATTTGTTGACTATCACTTTTCTGTCCCTTCTGTTTCACTTGGCTACTATTATTGAATGTAGCTCTGGTAAAAGTGAAGGGGCGTAATGGATCTTAAAATAGCTTGTTATGTCTGGAATACTTTACAGTTTATCATGCCTCGTATAGCTTAAAAACAGTTTTCACCTTTGTTGCTTTACAACAGTAATCCAATCAGAACTAGCCTATGGGATGAACAAGTGATTTTATCCTTCTTTTGCACCACAAATGAAATATTTTTAGAAAGCTTCTTAAAATAAACGCCACTACGGTCTATAGGTTGTTCCTCAATGGGCCACAGGACTGTGGTAAATTACACTTTTACCCCTGCATGCCCAAAACCTAGCTCTAGTCATCTGTCTTATTTTCAAACTGTCCATTTTGTGTGTGATTGTCTGATGGGAGAAAAATGGTGCTACTCATGACTTGGAGACATCATGGAGGGAATATGGAGGTTAAAGTGAGGCATTATACCCCTTCCTCTGCAAAGTCCAAACCCTACTGGTTAGGCCATGTGAAATTGGATCTTTCACCGTAATTACTGTGACGTGTCCACATCCCCAGAAAAACGTCGCTGTTCAAGTTTCTGCAGTCTTTCATTCTACTAGATAGTCCCCAATAAATCTGGAAATTGTGCCCTTACTCGCTGCCTTTGGATTTGCTGAGACCCTAATAGTCACTTTAATTGTAACATTGATTCACTTTTATAAGTACTCATGGCTAATCCGGCCAAGTGACCCAGTCCCTGATCCAGTGAAAGCTGGGCCCGTACGCGCAGGTCACACCTCTGTGTTGATTCACCCTCGTTCATCAATAGGGGCATTTGTCCTGAAGTCCACATCTATTTATGATCCGCGCATACAATATCAGGTCATAACAATTCCAGCGGTAGAAACTCAGTCTATAACTGTAATATCTTTGGAGAAGACTTTTCCTTATCCATCTTCGAGTTGTATCGAATAAAGCCAATGAACCTCAATCGTAACTGTTGTTTGGTTTCCGTGGAGGAATTCGTGGCAAACGACTCCACCACTGCACACACAAAACGAAGGCAGCTTAGCCTTTGGATGAGGTGGCGCGTGCCTTAGAGCTTGGAGATCACCAACGCTATGCTAATTCGATGGACTTTCTAGTAGATACAAAAACCTTTTTTTAACAAACCATCCAGCAAGCAATCCTTTAGTATTTTTATGAACCCAACAAAGCAAGTGACAAACAGCGGTTTGGTACCATTGAAGCCTGTTATCATCTATCGATGGAATCCATCTGTTTAGCAACCGCACGACTTTCGTCTTCTAATTGGCGTACATCTCAACGAATTGTTTCACACCGCTCACGTTAAATGTGGCCGGAATTTCTTCAAGCTATCATGAATTGTGGCTCGTGCTGAACGTGATGCATCACCATCTGGTGGTGAATCACCGAAATTGGTTAGTTGATTCAACCCATTTCTGGGCGTCATGTTCTTCTGCTTTTTCTTCTCCAAATACCACACAAAAAGTTTGACAGGAAGCTGGCTTCTGCAGTTTTAAACCCGATTCGTAAAGCCCACAAGCACCAAGGCTTAACCGACATTTTATTATGTGTGGGTCGAAAGGCATGGTAGACTGATGCTTTTATCTACACTTTGCGGTGCATGCATTTGATAATTACTTCTGTAGTGATTCTAACTACTTGTGATCTAGGTTTCTTAAGATCTGGATGCACCGGTTTTTAATAACCAATTTTTCCTGAAAATGAAAGAAGTCGTAACACTAGGGCAGAGCATGTATTGGGAACATATGGAAGGGCTGAAAGGGGAGAGGGGTTTACTGGCATAGCCCAGAGTCCATACCGTCCAACAGAAGTACAATTTTGGAGCCTTAAATGTCTGCAAAACCAAAGTCAAGAGTTAGGCAAATAATTAAATCATTGCATAGTCCTCTTCTCCTTTTGAGCCTCGGGGACGGCGCCTCTCCTTGATCAATCACAATTGTAGTCGATGGTGTAAAGAAAAACACCCACGAACCAATTGACCCCGCTGGTCATTGAACCTGCGTCCAACTGAGGCAATATGTGACTGTGAAGTCACTGATCTCTCTTGAGAGTTTCACAGGTTGTGTAGTTTTGTCCTGCTTGGAAAGTATATTGGGGGAAGGTGGAATGTGCAGACCACCACGTATGACAATGGCTGGTCGTAAGAACACCGGTCCAAAAGCAGTCATTTAGTAAGGGACGGGGTTTAAAATAGTTTGATGGGGATATGAATTTGCATTTCTTCCTCCTGGCCACTTTGTTCCCACGGCAGTGTTGCCTAGTCATATCTGTCTGGGTTCCACTTAGCTAGTTTTTGTTTGACACCTTCACACAAGTACCGTAGACAGCTCCGTAAATAACTTTTCCAGATGGTTCACATCTATTACCACTTCAGCTGTTAATAGCTTTCCTGCAGAACTCGGTACTGGGGTAGTTCCCAAGGGCCGACACCATTGTCAACCCTTCTGTTGGAGGGTCGTCACAGATTCTCCCATTTGCGTTACCTAACCTTCTCCCCTTATATTAAGGTTTGGCATTCTGGAATGGGAACTAAGGAAGTTGTCGATGTGCAGAAGGACTGCAGGGTTACTGTCATGACCCAAAGGTCATTACGCCCAGCGGAAGTACAAAGGCGGAGCTTTAATTACCCACGAAATCGAGACGAAACGTTAAACAAACAATAATCCAAACATTACAGTTTATCAAAACACGTACCTGTTTAAATAAGTCAGACTAATTCTGTCACACCTTGTCGTCGCTTCCTTCATCCACAACAACAGCTTTTAAATCTGCCAACAGTGAAGGCTTTGTGTGTTAAACAGCTCATAAATTAATCGCTTTGTTATATAAATCAAATATTATATTTCATTATAAATCCATTAAAATGACTATTGATGCTTATCCAACTACGAAATTTCTTATTTATGGCTCATTATTATTTTACACAGTTAACAATCATGAATTCGCTGTGAAATCATCTAGCCAAAAACACTGTGGGTTATTGGGTTTATTCCAAAAACCTTGAATTTAAGCTGTATGCATTATCCCACTTTGTAGTTTGCCGTTTGCTTTCACTTGTTAAAGTGCTCTAGGCCTGAATTTCCGCATCCTAGGGTCCCCACCAAAAGGGTCGCTGATGAGTACGCTACTTAAAACAAATGGTGTTTTAGACTACGCTTGTATAGGGAAGCCTGTCCCGCATTAGATTGTATTGTTTGTCTATTAAGCAGCAGAAATTCAGCTTCGGCTTCTTGGCCAACCCATTTCAGAATTCCTTCACTTCAATTTCCATTCAATTAGTAATCCCATGGTGATTTTGTGTCCTTGTCGTCTCTTTCATTCACAGAAATTACACGGTTTAACGATTGAACAAATGTGGACCGACTTGTAGTGTCCTCGTTACTTTAACTACACTACATCATCGTCATCCGATGCTACCATAGTTTTTAAATCTGAGCTAGCAGTGGGGATTGGGGCATAGATTTTGTAATCCTCCCTTTTCCTACCTCGCATCAACGTTCTTGATTGCAGTGCACTTTTTCCTTTCAATTGCAGATTGAGCAACACAACTACTGTCGTCCCGGTTCCCTGAGCAACGACACCGCTTACCTCTTCCTGAAGGAGGGACTTTTAACTGCTGTGGCAAGTTTATTCGTGATTTCTAACTTTGCAACTTAACTTCTTGGTACCCCCCATTGGTTGTCTTTATTTGGTCCTAATGGGAGTGGGTGACTGATTTTGGTTTTTCCTATGGCTCTCATCCTTTGATGTTTTTGGTGCGCTTTTCACGCCTTTATTTAAGTTGTTGTTTTAATTTTCTTTCCTATAGGAACATTGTTATTAGTTAGCCTTCCCTAATGGTAAAAAGCGTGGAATTTGTTGCGTAAAGGCAATTATTTCATATTCCTTTTTGAGGAAGTGTACAGATCTTTTGTTTTGTTTAATATGTCTGTTTCATTTCGTCTGCGCCCCGTTCTTGGTTAACAAAGTAATTGTGGCGTCCCGAGACTTCCCTGAGGACGAAAGGGGACGTAACACTCAGGCAGAGTATGTATTGTCGACCTGCAAAAGTGCTTGGGACTACTTGCATGCCCCGGAGGTCAGTCCCCTCGGCAAGAGAATAATGGCGGAGACCCTTACCGCCCCATTACGAAAGCCGGGAGTTAAACAATTTGTCTTTTCGTAATAATTTGATTGCCTTGAAAAAGGGCAAGCTTATTTGTTATCCTTGGAACTTTCTAATTATCATAATGTGGGAGTTGGATATCAGAAAGTGGTTGTTCTGTCTATTTGTGAAATGCGGACCAAATTATTTGCTTGTTTTTTTTCCGGTGGACCGGATGGATTTGTTTCTTTTTCCTAAAATATTCTTCCACCTCTTGACCTACGTAGGCAAAGACTTCGTTCCTAAATGTTACCACATTCAGATTCTGCGATTTTTAAGTTTAATTTGCTCAGCATTAGTTGGTGAATATCGTCTGGAGGGCTCCCTGAGGTGTCTCTTCCAAAAAGCTTAGAATTATTTTCATCTTTCTATAACCTGCTTCAACCGCTCCGCGCCCAGATTCGTCAAGTTGTTTGCTCCGAATCTCACCCCGTTTTCGTCTGGTTCATTGCAAGCATTTTGGATCCGCTCTGCTTAATTAGCCTGGCTTAAAGCATTCTCTAATTTTTTTTTACAGCAGACATGTGGAATAAATTTGCTCCCGCATCTAGTGGTTTTATTGATATCTCAGACCTCAGAAATCTCAAATTATTCGCCTAAATTTAATTTAAGTTTCCGTTTTTGATTTTATGCAATCTGGGCTAAATTTCCCCGCATTCTTACACAAAATTTATTTCCGCTATCTTCGAACTCCCTTCTCGTCTACCTTTTGAAGTCGAGAGAGGCATATATAATTTCTACAGGGTGCACGTTGTTCCTATAGTTCAACATTAATTCACCTAAAGTCTTACCGTATCTACTGTGATTTTTGAAGAATTTCAAAAAGTTTGTAAACAAGGCAAATCCTCTTTTTAGTCCTACACAACTCTAGAAGGTCCCTTTAATTATCCTTCATTTCTCTTCTCTGCCACTGATGCCTTTTTAATTCTCTACAATTGGAAAGTGAAATATCTTCCGGTGATTTTCTCAATTCCTAGACTTTATTCTCCTTAATCTATACGAAGTGAACGAAATTCAAATCTATGATCTGCTCTAAAGAAATCTACGAAAAATTGTCTCAAAAATCCCCTTGGAAGGCTGTTGTACCTATCCTACTTCTTCCAACGCTAAAATGACTTCAGTCACCAGCATCCAGAGTATTAGCTGCCGTACTCTTCAATAGTTGTAGGTAGTGTGTGATCTCTGGTCGTGGTAGTATTGTCCTGCACCTCAATAGTCCCCCTTCTTTGTGGTCAACTTTGGTCCTACAGGATTTTAAACAAATTCAAGAAAACCTCCACTTAACAAATATAAGTTTACATAAAACCCGCTTGCAATTTTTTAGTGATAATGAACTCTTAAGTGACGATGTATGCCAACTTATTTTTTCTCTTGAATAATTCCCAAGCACCGACTTTTGGAAGAGTACAGGTTCCTCTTTCTTTCTTTTTTCAATTGCTAAATCGGTTTTCACCTTCCCACAGACTTCCGACGCCTCCACCATCGACTTCTCCCTCAAGTTCATCCTGGAGGGTCAACCCGAGGTCCCTTCCATGATCCCACACAAGCAGAGCTCCACTTGTGTCACAGTCGACAACTCTACTACACCCAGCTACCTTACCAATCACCAGCACCACCGTCAGGGTCCTCCTGCTCTCTCCTCTCGGGTGATCGAGGCCTCCATTAACCTCTTTGGTCTCGTCTTTCCCTTCGTCTCCATCCGCCATCGAGTGCAGATGTTGGAGCATTTCGTGGAGTGCATCCGGGTTTCTAAGGCTGCACGACAGGAAGCCATTCAGGTGAACATCTTTGCCGCTCTCCTCTGCGCTTTGCGACACCTCTCAGAAACCAAGTATGCCTTTGGCGAAGACAAACATCTGCGTGATACGGCGGTTTCACTCGCCATGGTAAGGCCTGCGCGGTTGCGTTTTATGTAGCATATGCATCGCATTTATTTGTCAGTATTATGTCAGATTTGTGGTTGGTTAGGCTTTACCTTTTCACTATCCTTTAGGATGGTGTTTATTATTGTGTTTCAGTAGGGATGAGAAAGAAAAGTTGTGAATTGCGTGAGAGGGCGTCTTCGACATTATGTATTCATCAATTCCTGACGGTGTTTCAGTCTACTCATGGCTTTTCAGCAGCATGTTTCCCTATTTGGAACTTTTTCGCTACCTTATTCTAGTAGCACACTCAGTTTGATCATTTGGCATGACTGTAATCTGCTGTTTTTTAAACGCGATATTTTTTGTTCAATTAAATAAACTTTGTATGATGAACTTTACGCAGTCTTTAAATTTTATGTCGCCCCAGTTCCTGTTAGCGCTACTTTGTATCTTCCTCACACTTCAAGAGCGCACTGTCGAGTTCCAACACAGTACTCCGCTTTGCCGCAGCTGAGTGCGTTGGCCGACTGGCGCAGGTAGTGGGGGAAGCGGGTTTTCTGGCGGATGTGGCGCAGACCTCCTTCGATCAACTGCGCTGTCTCCGCGACTCGAAGGCCCGTGCCGCCGGCCTCTGCGCCGCCATTGGCTGTCTTCATCGTTTGTCGGTGGTCTGGCGTGTGGCCAACATCTCAGCACTAGTGTCTCCGTTCTTCTCGCTGTTGCACAGGATTCAAGTGCTCCTACTGTTCAGGTAAGTTTCGGCTTTTCATTATTTAATATAAGTCCTCCTTGAGTCTCAGTGCATTGACAATTCTATGTTTCCCACTTTTAATTAAATGGATTCTAAAATTTTTTTAAGTCGTGTACGAGACCTATTTTTTCCTTTGTAATTACCATTTCAGGCTTGGGCACTGAACGCTCTTGCACTAACATCTGAGTCAGGTGGGCCAATGTTCCGTGAATTTGTGCAGCCCAGTCTTAATCTAGTCCTTCGTCTCCTCCTCAAGACACCTTCAACCATTACCGACATCCATAACAGTCTGGCAAACCTTCTTGGTGCTCTGATCACCACGTTAGGACCAGAATTGCAGTGTAAGTCAATTGTACTGTATTTTTGAAAGGATTAACAGTTGGATGGTTAGAATTAAAGACGGTGCCGTGTTTTGATTGCTCTGCGCAGTTGTCATTTCCTCCAAACTGTCCACCGTAGGGGTGTATATGATGTCATCAATCAGTATCTCAGTGGAAGTTCATCCACTAAACTAGAGTGGTCATCGACTTAACACCCCTCAAAAGGTATTCGACATCTAAATATTTCGAGTTGTAGCTGATGTTTTGTTTGGGATGTCGTCTAGTTGGTATTCTTCTGGACTACCTTTCGTAGTAGTGATTGGTCTACGTGTATCCAATTTATTCATGAAAACTTTGTGCATATAAGAGTTCAGAAATAGCTTTATTGCAAGCCTACGGAAGGTCCAGACGATTATTAGCAACGATGACATGAGTAGAGCTCTATGACACCGTTGTGGAGGTCGAATTGCAGGGGAATAAAGGTCCAGCTTAGTAAAAACTATCATACCCATACAATGTAGAGGACTTCCTTCGCAGTAAAATGATTACCTAGCACTACTCACCTCTCAACCCGATAGCGTCGGGCGGTGGTGGGGGTGGTGGCAAACCGAACATGGGTCTCTGCTGTCTCCTCTGCTGCTCCATCCTGCTGGAGCATCCCGACCCCCTACTCCAGGCTGAGGGCATTGCCAACTTTCAACGTATCCATGTCTTCGCCCCTCACCTCGTAAACCTCAGCCTCTTTGCGCCCTTCCTTTCGGTAAGTTGATAAGATCGGTGTTGTAGTATCGGTCCTGCGAAACTGCATTAATAGCCATTTTTGCGCCTCTTCTGAATTACTTTACCTTTGAAAGATAACCGCTAACTTTTCCAACTCTTCAATATGAAGAAGAATCTAATATATCCCTCTACATTTCAGAATAAAGGGGAGATCTTAAAAATTTCTGAATAAGTATGAAAATGTCCTATTTTCAGTTATTTAAAAGATGTGAAAGTTTACAACTTTCCAATGCATACTTAGAATTACCATTCCGTTAGCGACGCTTTATTGTAAAATGCGATTCTGAATGGATTGCTTTGTTTTCCGTTGCAAAAAGTATAAGAGTGTCTGCTTTTAACTCCATTCTAGTTTAAATAAAGCGAAATGTTGATACTACACTTTTTCCATCTGCTTCAGGCCTCCATGACAAGTCCGTACTTTGCTCTGCGCCGCGCCGCAATCACTTGCATTCGCCAGATAAGCCAGAAAGACGCAGACAACCTCTGTGAAGTCATGGCAGCAGTGTCAACAACATCCCCTTACTCAGCTATTTCCACCACCACAACCGGTTTCATTGGCAATCTGCCGGGTGAAAAACCGCCAGCCTCGACTGTATCCACGAATATCGCGGCTGAGACGTCTGCTGAAGCTGTCGCCCCGCCTTTGGAAACAGTCCTCTTCAGTCTCCTGGACGTGGAGACGGATTCGAAGTTGCGCAGCCATCTTGAGGAGGCCATTTCGAGTCTACTTCAGGCCCGGGGCCTTAGCCACTTTTCTGGATGGATGAGGAGCCTTAAACAGCTACTGCAGGTGCATTTTGGGATTCTGATGTCAGTGTGGCTACTTGTTTGGCCGCAATGATAATCAATTTTCAACCTCAAATCATCCATCAATTTAAAGTGAGGTCATGTTTTCATATTCTAGCGATATCGGATCATTCGAACCAACCCTATAGGTGAATGAATTTTGTTTTCGAATGAGTTGTATAAACTGGTAGCGGGGCTCAGTCATTATGATTTTTTGTTCATCTTGGATAAAATGAGGTACTGAAACTGATTTAAAATCCAGATGATTAATTTTTTAAGGTCTAAGTTCCCTCTAAAGGCGTTTTGAGGTATTTCTGAGATAATTGCGCAGGAAGGCTGGTGCACTGTTGAAAGGAGTGACCAGGACCGAACGCTGTAGCATCAAAACACTCACCAACACTGGGTGAAATAAAGATCTATGCTTTAATTGACGATCTTTCGTTCCCCTTTTCCTACTTCCAGTTGACAACCTCGAAGTTTAATGCGGTCAGGGAAGGCATTCGAGAAGAGGCGGATCCTTCGAAACCTCAGCGATCTCTGAAACAATGGGCCACCGATGATGGGAACAGTGGCAGAGCGAATGATAACACTGAGGAAGAAGCAGATGAGGATGATGATGAGCAGACCCTTGGTGCCAACACGAAATCACGGGGTGAAAGTTTTCGCCCTGGAGACACAATCTTTAGTCTGCCTCCAAGGTAAGGAGGAGTTATGTTACTGATTAGATGCGTCCTTTCTTCTTTCCGGATAGCTACCTTGCATTTATGCAAAACAATTTTCCATAAGAAATTAGAAAGCTTATTGATTACGTTACTAAGTTCTTATTTTGCCACAAATTCCTCATCAAACCCCTGAATGTGCATTGCTCAACCTGCATTGAGTTCTTATCCATGGAAGGGAATGATGAGACGAAAACCGATCATTAAATACGACTGAACTGGTGCGATGCTAGAGAGTTTGTGCCTACGTAGCTGAATATTTTAAAAACTTTTTTCTTAGATGGCCTACTCGCATTCTCGCCATCGCTTGCCTGCGTCGACTCATGTGTCTCTGTTACCAGGCTGCCGAGTTAGCTACAGTTGCTCCCCTCTCCACCACAACTACTGCTACAGAAATCGGCCTCCGTAGTCCCCAGCTCTCTCGTGACTTGCCACTCACTCCGCTGCAGCAACAACAACGGGCACACTTTGACCTCGTTCTGGCACGCAAACTACGTAGCGGTCTGACCGACGTGCCTTGGCTGGTTCTGCATCTGGCTGATCTTGTGAGGGTGACTTTTATAGCGGCCACCGCTAGCAGCGACCATCTGCGCCGATTTGGCCTGTTTGCGCTGAAACAGGTCATCCAGTTCTTTGCGCCAGTGGTTGATCCTGATTCGACTGGTGAGTTGTATCCGGTCTCTCGCGCTGTCTGGGCGTTTGGATTTAAAGGCGTTTAGGATAGCATCCGTTCTCCTTTAAATTTCCTTGTCGGTTCTTCTAACTGTTACAATTTTATATTGATCATCACAACGGTAAACATATGATTAAAAATTGAATGATTAGAAAGAATGGTAGATGATTTGGTATCTTTACTTGACTTGGAGGGTATTGTTTAGCTTAATTTCAATGATGTGAAATGACATTGCAGAAGAACTGAAAGACTGGAAGCTTGAACGGCGTGATTACAACTGCTACGGAGGCGGTGATACGGTAGCGTGGAAGCTAGAATCTGGCAACCTAAGTGCCGGAATCGGAGCTCTATGGTACCCGAATCCCGAATACCGTGTGCTCTGCAGTTCTCTCTCATGAAGACGCCCTGCGTTATTTCCTCGTCACTGTTGTCACTTTAATGATAGTGTCACCTTACTAGCTTTAGGCTTTCCGCGAGCCTGCAGATCATACTCATCATCTGTCCATCCCTTCACAGCCGTTTTGAATTGTTCAATTCTATTCCTGCTCCAAAATTGGACCTTATGTTCAATTCGATACTGGAGTCTTTGTAAACAATCAATGCGGATTTAATAGCCTCTCTAACGGCTTTTCTCGAATTTTACAATCTGCAACAGATGCATTCTTTCGTTCATTCTTGCTTTTGTTCTTACCAACTTCCTTATCTCGCCATGTGACTCGAAATGATTTATCTCTCACTTAAGGAAACTACCTTTTGGAACAGTTCCAAGCCCAAATCTCCACAGCTCTGAGTTCGGCTTTCGCCACCGCCGCCACCTCTGTCACCGCCATTACTACCGCTCCGCTCCCCGACATCACTGCAGCCGCCTGCGAGGTGTGCGCATGTTGGCTGACCTCCGGTGTGCCTCGAGAGGCTGCAGACCTCCGTCGAGTTCACGACCTCCTCACTGCTTCTCTAGAAATCCTCCGCGCATCACCTTTCTCAACCTCCGCCTCCACTGCGCTCTTCTCCGAGGCCTGTGTGACTCGACTCAAGCTGGCTGTACTTACCGCCTGGGCCGAGGTCTTCATTGCTGCGGCGAGATTCCGAGAGACGGCTCTTCAAACTCTGCAGCTACTCTCTATTTTGGAGAGCAGCGGAAGGGAGAGTAGCAGTGGTGGAGATGCTCTAGGTGATGTAGTTCAACGACAGTTCTTTCTTATGTTGGCTGGTGACGGTGGTGCTGGTAGTGGAAATTGGGCCCAGCCATCCGTCCACGATGCGTCAAAGCTGTTGGAAGTGTTAGAAAAGGAGGTAGATAATGAGGACGAGTTGGATGAGGAGGAAGAGGACGAGGTGTTCAATGAGGAGACAGGAGAATGCAGTGGTAGTGTTGATGGTGAGTTACGTTTCTCTATACTGCACACAATCTACTGGAAAGCTTCGTCATAGAAAGACTCGCTAGCGCGGCTCAGCCGTCCTAAGAGTCTTTTTCACTTCATCATCAGTGATGGTGGATCCCCATGTTTCAACCACTTCAATGCTAATGGAAGTGAAATAATGTACTCGAGTTCTGCTATATGTAGTGATGCGATCCAGGAGACCCTGGTCCCCTTGCTAATATACTCCCCTTGGAACTAAGATAGGTTCTCTTTCCACGGGTTGATCATTCCATCGCCCATCGACCGTATACATTAACAAAATGCCCCCATTTTTCCCTCCCACTTGCAGTGACAGTTATAGTCAAGGCCTTTGTGCAATTTTGTTCTATTTCATAATCTTTATCCTTCCCAGTAAAACGGAAGCGTTTCATTCGAAAATCGCGCCGCACAGTTGCCGAGTCACGTCATTCCTACCAACTTCTCTCGCGCCTAATTGGTGATGATCTCGCCGAACTGGCCTCGGATTGGCTGGCCGCACTACGCGATTTCGCACTCATTAATCTTCCCGATGAGCTAGCCTTCCAGCGTCCTTCCACTGCGGGTGCATTTTACGACACACAGACGGGTATTGAACAAGTGCGGCCATTCTACGCGCGTTCTTGGCTTGCATTGCTGGAAGCTGCTACGCTCTGTTTGAATACGGAATCGAAATGCACCTCCAGGTTGTCCTATTCTAGTTTTGAGGTCACCGAGAGGCAAACCGTTGTTTCCATGACACGAGACTCCTTCTTCCTCATTTTTGGTAAGCTTTCATCACTATCCGGTCAATTGGAAAAGCTATAAGTAGACTTACTCAACGTGGAGGAGGATTGAGAAACTGTCAGCTTAGATGGCATGACTTTGATCGGATTCATGGGAGGCTAGAATTGTGTGCGTAATTTACTATAAGATACAAAGTTTTTGAGCATCTTCATACCATCTGCGAGACAAGAACGACGATCATTTTATGCTGTCTTGGTCTCTATTCCTTTCTTCCCCCTAGGCATAGCGGTGGAAGCTATGTCCGACGTCATCTCCAAACCCCCCACCTCGGTGGTCGCTAAATGCTTGCGCATCGTGGAGTTGCTTTTTATGAATCCACAGTCACAACCCTACTTCTTTGCTTCTACTCCACGTCTTTTGGTGGAACTGTTGTCGGTACTGCATCGAATCATCTTAACTCGTGACTCCATTTCTCTACACCTCGCCTGTCTCCGGGTTCTTCATCTCCTTCTTGCCGCAGCTAACAATAGACTCCGTACTACTCTAGCTGGTATGTGAAAATTTTATTGGTGCGATCTTAAATCTGGCTCTCCATTGTTTGGTCCATGACTCCTCTTCTAGCTGCATTGAATCCCACTGGCAGTGGAAACACCGAAGCAGCCGTTGAAGCCATTCCAATTTGGTTGGAGACGGGTCAGAGTCTTGAGGAACTACTAGCCGTTCTCCTCTGTCCTTGCGCCACCGACATGGAGGTCGTGCTGAAGGCCCTTGAACTTGCTGATGGTGGCGCCAAATCCTGTTTTGAAGAACCGCCCGATTCTTCCTGCCGCCTGGTCCTCGCCATACTCCAAGTAATCGTCTGTCTGCTGGCTCGTTACCATCCTTCCGTTCTGCAATCACCAGTGTCGGAGCAGGCTCAACCTTTAAAGTGTTCGTATCCATTTTTTTAATTTATGAAGCCAACGCCAAAAGTTGATTCTAAATAGCAATTGTTTTTTTCTATCAGCCTCATCAGCTTTTCCCAAATCAACGGCAGCTCAACATAGAAAGGCACCGGTGATTTTGGCTAGCGCAGTTCACGCTCTAACGGCATTGCTTCGAATTGCTTCACCTGACATCCTTTCAATCAATCCGGATAAAAAGGTTTCGGGTGTTCTGCCTGTCATGTGTCGATTGGTGTCGCGAATTGCTCAGGTTAGGCCTCCAACGTCTGAATGACTGCATCAGATTTCCACTCGCTTTAATCACATCTTATGGTTCCACTTTGTTGAGCGCTAGCAACTAAGACCTTTTCTTGTTGCCAGGGTTTAAATGGAGAATCGGAGAAACAAATTACCGTTATTATTTAATTGTTAGCTCCTTTGGACACTTTACTCCCAACCGATTTATGATTTACTTCAGTTGGAGCTCTTGAATCCCTCGCACATTGGGAAACGGGAGTCGAGACCAGCACCAATAATAAGTTCCCCAGGTCTGAAAGAGGAAGACAAAGCAACGGACGTAGTTAGCCTGGGATCCACCTCGACTATATCTACCGTCGCCGCCAACGCCGCCTCCGCCCCTACAGCTGCTACGTCTGGTCCGCCAGACCTCGGTACAATCTCTGCCAGTGCCTTTAAGACAGCTATCACCGCGGAGACAGACATCACCTCCACAAGTTCTGGTATGTTTTCTTGACTCTTGTGCCAGTCAAATATACTCAAAAACCTTATAATTAAGCCCACGCTCTTACCCTCTTAATGCATCCTCCAAAACGAATTCTTTACCAGTAAAACGCAGGCAATGCTTTTACAGTTATGATGACTTTTTTCCCCACAGGCGCCAACGATACGGCCTATTCTACTACCGTTACCGCTGCAGAAGTCGCGGCTTTCAGCGCCGGGGGACGTGGCTGTGCCAGTCTCAACGCCAAATTAGGATGGAGTCAGGAACAGGCCTGTCTAGCTGACGCGTTGGTCGCTTTTCTCGCCACAGTGGCGCAACATCACTGCCGACCTGCTTCTGCTACCACTGCCACCTCTGCGGCTACCGCCGCCGCCGACATCACCACCTCTGTTGATGCTTCTTCAGGTGCCGCTGCAGAGGCGGTGGATGATGCAGTGTCTAGCAGCACTCTGCCCTCCGTTAGCCAGCCTCATAATACTACTTCTGGTGTTGTTTTCAATGATTCTGGGGATACGCCGCCATGCGATTGGCATCAGCTTGTGATTGCTTGTTTGTTAACCTTCGTCCAACATGATCATGCTGCTGAAGATGCGTCAATGATGGTGGTGGGGGAGACAAATGGAGGAGTAATTGAGCAGGAGGTATGGCAAATTTTCCCGGCTTTGAATATTTTGTAGCATTCTTCTTGTCAATTTGCTTTATAAGACCAAAATCATATTTTTGGCACTTAGGCTCAATTATTATACCAAAGCTCCTCTGATCTGCGGATTATGTCTGCTGTCTCACATCTTAGATTCGCTTTCTGGAATCAAAAATGTCGGAAATAACTTTAACTTGTTGTACCCAGGTTAGCATTAAAAAGTTTATCGGACTTTTTACATCCAAAATGAATTAAAGGCTAGATGATTAGGTGGTATGCCTACAGAGCGGTAACCAATTCATAGGGGACTGGAACGGTTCCATGTACTCACATTCAGCCAGTCCGGAGGAATCTTGACGATACGCTCGCAAAGGGGATGTGGAACTATCCGTGCGAGTATTAACCAAATAGCATTTTCACATGATCAGTAAACTCAACGATGTCTAATTTTTCACTTCAGCAAACCGCACGGTGCTGCCTCATTGCAGCGTGTCTCTCAGCTCGAGTGATCGCCGCAGCGCCACTGGCGGTGTTTCGCTGTCGTGCCGTCGAGTTCGGTATCTTTGATTTGCTGACAAGGGCCTGGCGCGACGCATCATCATCGGGGTCACCACAAGCTCCTTTGAATGGCGCTACGACCCGTACTGTCTGTCTTGCTGCCATCGAAATGCTCGTCAACCACCACGATGCTGATGTCAGTTCCTGCTGTGTGAAGACTCTTATGCCTCAGGTTAGTGGGGTTACTGATTATTCCATGTTTGTCGGTCTAATGTCAACACTTCGGCTTTTTTGTTATCAATGTTGTCATTTCACGATAGAAATTCAGTTTTTTTTTGAATTCTCCTTCGGGACAGTTCGAGTAGATTTCCAACGACATTAAATTGTTCTGAATGCAGCCGACTCAATAATTCCGTCACAGTCCCATCTTTGTGTTCCCCTCTTTAGGTGTTTCACTGGTTGTACGAGCTCTCTCTGGTCACTGCCACGACCTCTGGGGCCAGTCTTCCAATAACGGCATCAACAGTGGATGTGTTTGGAGAAACGCAATCACTAACATCACAACAGCAAGTTCGCCGTCTCTTCCTCTCCAGCCTGGAGGAAGCTGTATCCGCTGCCATAGCACTTTCCGTCAACGTTGTGGACATTGCCGAGGCCTCAGGACGTCAAAACCTTCTCATAATCCTTTTGCCCCTCTTTTGTGACCTGCTTCATGATGCTGATGCTATTAGTAGCGGTGATAATAGCAACAACGATGGAATGGTCGCAGTACGTCGAATGCTTCACCGTCTGGCATTGAAGAACCTGCTTGCTCTGGGTTCTCGCTACCCCGCAGAGTTCCGACATGTGGTGGCGAAGGTTGCTGGTCTTAAACCGAGAATCGAGGCTGCCGTGAAAGCGTCAACAACTGCTACCGGTACCTCCACCAGTGCAACTTCGACGAAGAAAGGGGCAACAGTCACGTCTCAACAACATCAACAACAACCGCGGGCTGCGATTAAATTGAAGATGGAGTTTTCCAACTTCACCTAGGTTAATGTCTGCGATGCTATTGGCATCGTTGTCATAATCATCGTAATTGCTGTTGGTGTTGTTGTTGTCGTCCTTCTTTGAGTTGTTTTTTTCATCCTTGGCTCCCATGAAGATAAAATGTTTCCTATCAGTTTTTTTTTCTTCACGCGCTTTCCTTCTTCTTTTATCTAAACAAACAAATGAATGCAAAATGTGACATTACTGAAATCATTGAAAATACATCTGTCCAGGCGTTGTTCTTGCTTTTTGATTCACGTACTTTAATAGGATGAATAGGAGATTATTAAACCATTCATATAATCGGAAAGTTCTTGAGCCCTACTACTACGTTTATAAGTAGTATCACTTAGTGTTAGCCTACTGCAAAATGTTGATAAGTAGGTTAAAATAACAACCACTGGTTCCAAATTGCGCGATTACCCATTTTGAGGGTAAAATGATTAATATGAAGTTGAGGTCGCTTCGCGTCAGTGGCAGATCGGGGCGGGTGCTCGCTGTCCGATCGTACGGTGAGCCTCTGCGCGTTGACTCTGCCCTAGTTAAAGACTGCCAATTGAGCCCAAGGCTGCCTAATGTTTGACGGTCTTGTTCGACCTAGGTCACTACATCTAAGGGCACTTCGCCAATTTAATCCTGGCGTCAGCTGCGTGAAGTTCATCGTCTGGAGTTTTGCGTATTTGCCAAAAGGCGGCAAAGAATTCTTGGAAAGTCCCACCGGTGCCTTGGTTTCAGTCAGGGGGGGTCTGGTCACGGACCCTTCTCGGCTTCACCAGACCCATCGATTGGCGTCCAACTAATGCCTTTTCAAGGTGGTGAGAGATAACATCTGTGGTCCCTCCCACAGCCACCAAGAGGCAACAAGTGATGCACAAATTTGAAGGTAGCACATATTTTAAAAATGACGTTGGTCGCAGACAACGGAAAACAGTTCACTTTACTGTTGCTCCGTGGCTTTTGCTATCAATTTAATGTGCACCCTCAAGGGGCATTGATGCCAGCGCCCGGGAGTAGTGGTTGGGAGATTATCAATGTATAGCTAGGAAGATTTTTCACGAACGCGAAAATGTTATATTTGATGTCAAAGGTGGAAACATCACATGAGTGCGCCGCTTCAAGGCAGAACCCAGCAATCCAGCATTGTAGCTTGCCATGACAGGCTGCTTGATGTCTTCCATCTGTGAATAATGCTTCACAGAATGTTATGAAAGTAAAAGCTTAGGCCGGTTTGACCTGTGGATGCGCGGCGCAAAACGAATGGGAGTCGGCCTTAGTAAACTTCTCTACTGACTTTCTTGTGAGAGAAGGTGATGCGAATGTCCGCCACCCCGAAACCGACCCTATTTTGATTTTTAAAATTTTTTTTTCATAACTAATGCCCGACTGTCCAGACAGGCTCTGAGTATGCTAATAATCCATGTAAAATCAAGGCCATAATTTTTGAATTTGAGGTCGCGATAAGCTAAGGCATGAGTGGTTTAAGGACTCATTTAGATCTTCTTTACCCTCCTCAGTTACCCTTCCTTACTGATTGCTGTTTAAGACTTCTATTATCGTGGGTGTGATTGGCAAGTCTTGGAGGGCTCCGGATCCATCGCATTCTTATCGACTAGTATTCGTTTTTTGGCTTGATGTACAACATGGAAGAGGCTTTGACACCATAAAGGCAATGAATTCTTATAAAGAAGCACGTAAATGGACATAACTCAAGATTTAATGGATTTAACAAGATTCATCTCTGGTCTTGAAATCAAATATATTCTCGTCTCTTCGAAAATTAAATGACCACCACTCCTGGTTTGCGGGTGGTTCATAAACACGGACTACTTCGTGATGGCCAGCACAGAACAGCAGCCGTAAGAGCTGAAAAGCTGAAGAAGTTGTATGAGAGGATAAAGTTTGTTTTGTGGATTTGTTCAACCACGTGGGTCCCTCACTTCTCCAGAGTGTGCTCACACATATAAACCCCTTTGGGATAACCAGCTTCAATCCGTCTAACTAAAGGGCTAATTATCACTTCTCTCACCCTCATTGTCCACAATAAACTTTTGAATTACTGAGAGTTCCTCAATATTCAGTGTACGCATTACTATGCTAACTAGTAAGATTTCCATAAAAACCTATTCTTATGCACTATAATACTTTGTTTATTCGTGTAACGCTTTGTTTTGGTCTTGCGGGTACGTAAGGCTCCGTAAGGCTCCGCCTTTATGCTCCCGCTGGGCAGCATAGTCTCCAGACCTTGTTAGTAGCCCCAGCCGTCCTGTGCTTCGCTAATATATATTCTGCTCTAGTGTTATAACTACTTTCGACTTCTGGCAATACTCAGGAGCTACATTGGTGGCAGTGGAAGGGGAACCCAATTCTTTTACCATTTCTATTCCTGATCGTTGAATCTAAACGTGATAGAAGAAGGGCATATGCTACTGATGGGCAAATCTGGGACCACTCCTATTGGAAGGATTGAAAATGACGTCTACCTTCGACAGCTACCCCAGTCTCGTGTTTTGCAGGAATGCTATTAACAACAGAGGCAACGCTAGCTGTGAGTCACCTGGAAAAGTTTTGTTTGAGGAGCTGTCTACGGTACCTGTACGAAGAAGCCAATGAAGTGAGCACACGATACTGCCTTCACCCTCCTAATAGCTGGATAGAAGTGAGACAGGTTGATATTGCCAGGCACCACTAGAGTAAGGGCAATGCGGCAAGGAGGAACTATTTTAAACATTTGTATACACAGTCCTTCAATAGGTGACTCTGTTTGTAGGCCAGTGTCCCTATGGTCACCGATAAATTTGCACATAGACAGCACATTTCCTCTTCCTTCAAAGCAGTTCTCAATAGTGACGAAGCTTAAGATCCAGTAGAAAAGCCAATTGCACGCAAATTTGATGACTGATGTGATTGGTCTGGGGGTGTTTTTCTTACACCGCCGAGTGCAGTGTGGTGACCAACGCTGGAGGTTAACCAAGAGAAGTACCAAGGTAAAGCTTAAAAGAAGAGGGAGACATTGGAATGCATAAATTGTTTGTTTAACTCTTTGTTTTAATTTCACGGATATTTAAGGCTCCGCTATTGTACCTCTGCTGGGCGACATGAACTTTAGACAATGTCAGTAGCCAGTTCTAAACCGTCCGGTACGTCGATGATACACATTCTGCCCTAGTGCGATAACCTCCTTCGTCTTCAGGAAACACTCGAGGCGACAAAACACCATTGCTTTACATTGTTAAGCATTGTGCAAGGTACATTCCCAAATGTTAACTTTTTATCATTTTCCCCCTTACTAATGCTAAGATTTTACCTGTAATTGCTAAACTCAAGATAAATTAAATTTCCACAGCAAAAAACTACTTGTCGTGAAAGTAATATCATGACGCTCCAAATAGATAAGCAAGACTTATTATATTTACTTAAATATGTTCAGTAGCACATCATCTAGTCTTACCTCTAAATCGGGTCCTCTTCCAGAGTAAGCGATTCAGATTCTATAAAAATCCATTACTTATAGGTCCGAATATGTGCGTCCAAGATAAGTGACAAAAAGTACCGTTCTTTTATCAATATAGTCTTCTATTACAGTAATAAATTTGAATTAGGGAATGCCCTTTTTGGAATCAGTAAAATTGGGAAACGGATTAATTCTCGCTACGAAAATTTCCATGCTTCCCTTAAAATTAATCTACAGATAGCAAAGCATAAGACCGAGTCAGCATCACTGTTGAGTTTGTTGATATCAGGCAGCTTAAACCATCCTAGGGGCTTAATTTTAAAGAAAATTGGACAAAAATTGCAAGACAAATATTAGTGGAGGGTCTGGCGGCAATTATCGATTTTCATGAGGGCGACGTGAACTCCACTCTCCTGGTGAAACGAGTGTTGCTCAGGAGTGATCGCAGCTGACCTATCACGTGTTTGTTGAGCAACAACCAAAAGCCTCAGTCGCATTTTTTTCGTCTCGATATGAGGTGATTCCATAAACTTCTCTCTATAAATTCCCACAGTATAAATAATCGAAACATTTTTTCACTAAGTATTCTAGAGCTCTAGTTTTATATTCCTTGCGATGCTGGTGACTATTTTTCTCTAACTCACTCTTGCATTCCTTTTAACCGTGAAACATGAACTTATTTTGATTTCAAAGATCAAACATTCTTAAAGAAACTTACTACAACTTCTTTTGCAGCTTAAGCGATGACACTTATAAGTGTGATCAAGAGGACAGCGGCTTTTTTGATTACAGTCAGCAATACAGTCAAAATATCTATGCTACTACGCTAGCTCCTCCTGCCCCTCCGCCTCCTCTTCCACCTCTCCCTTCTACTCATCCATCTATATCAGAGTACTTGTCATCTACTTTTCTGCCCACTGATACATCCTCCTATCTCCAAGTTCGAAGTGATGAGCCATTCTGTGATAAGTATCCCAACAACAATAGTGACTTTCTCGGTGATACTTCTTTGGAGGAGCAAATCCTACCTTCCCTACCCGAACGAAGCTACGACTACAGCATGCCGCCCACCTCGACAACCCACAGCCTCAATTCTACTGCCTATCCAATGGAAGCAGTTGAAGAGGAGCACTTGGTAGAACCCAATAATCAAATTTTCCGCCCCTTTGTGCAAGATAGTCGTCCAGCTATATATGCCTATAGATCTTTAGCTCAGTCAACACCCCAACAAAATGATGTCGGGCCCGGAGAATGCTATAAAGCTAACAGTCACATCTACATGCAACAGGAGTTTGCAGGCCTGGATACCTCACACAATGGAATGCAAGGGCAAGATGAACCGCAGACATCAGGTGATATACAAAAGGGGAAAACTGCCCCAAACAGCCAGTTGAATCCAAATGCAGTGGCTATAATGGATGAGTGGTACAGGGCGCATCTAGACAGACCTTATCCCAATAAAGAGGAGAAACTGCGTATGGCTATCGCTGGGGATATTACAGAAACTCAGGTAAGTCTTTGACAGGGCTGTCTAGAGAAAAGCGACTTTTTTCTTGTCCAAGTCTTTGACAGTAATGGCTTCAATGGCCAAGGGTAAAAATCATTTTATTTCCTAAAAAAGTAGTCTTTAAATACTGTAAAAGAATATTTAATTTGTTTTAACAAGTTTATGCATTTTGATTGGGTTTAGTGCCCTACAAAGTCGATTCGCGCACACCAGACGAGAGAGGACAGGGAGTTGTAAATCGATTTTCTATAAAGCTGACTAAAAAATCAATATCGGGGGTGTTAGGACAGGTGTTAACCTACGTCTACTCGATTTTTTTAGCGTATTTTTATGTTTCAAAGTTTTTTTTTATTTTTTTTCACTTTCATCTCGCTCTCCGTGCTTCAGGTAGGTTCGTGGTTTGCCAACCGACGCAATCGTAGTAATAATACGCGGCCGAAGCAAAATATGAAGCGGTTAAAGGCGGCCATCTGGGCGCTGTGCTGTGAGTATCAGAAGATATGCAATGGGCTTGTTAATGCCACGGAAATGCAGGCAAGGATAATCAGTCTAATCGAGCACCACACCAAATTCTAACCTTTCATGATTGTCTGTATATTTTTTGCTATTTCCCGACTGACGCCTCATTTATTTCATTTATTGAAATAATAAAGAGATTTTAATATGTTTTATTATTAAGGTGAGGTAGCACGATGACATTGAATTGCCTAGGCGTTTGAAATATAGACGATAGAAAATTCGGCTATAATTGGTGCTTAGGTTTTATGGGCTAGGCAAAACAAGTGCTGGCCTTTTTTTCTTCTAACTATTTAAATACACTACTTAATGGTTTGAATTTTGAAAATTTAGGAAATCCTAGCGGATGTTTAAGCCAAGCTACTTTTAAATATGGCTTTGCTTGCTATTTGTCAACATAAAGGCACACATTGCAATTGGTCGAGTAGGCCCTGACATTTAGATGTTTATTGGATAATGTCAACCAACCAATGGAATGAAAGTTTAAACCTTACATAATTTGCTAAAATATTTCACCATATATCTACTGGAGTATGTTTTCTTATCGAAATGACTAGGGTATTTTATTAACCAGGCCACGATATTATTTGTTTTCGGAGTTCAATCAAGCTCATTTAAACACGTCAATAGCATTTCTTGATGCTAATTCAAGATGAACGCTTTCCTAAGCCGGAGCAGAAATATGGGCTAAATTAATTTTTGAAAACTTTTTCAAAATCACATGCTTTCGCACTTATAGTTTTCATATTTTCTTATTTTAAACAAATAATAACTACTCAGGCTTAACAGGTCAATAAGAGTACATTTTAAATGTGATCTACCAAATTTTGCACTTTGTTGTGCTGTCATCATATTTTAAGCCTTTTTCATAGCACTCAAGCCGTTTTATTTGAGTTTACCAAAGATTTTAAAAAAAGTACCTCCCGAGGTATGGAAGCCACGTTTATTTCTTGTCCCATTCCCCGCGTTTAACCAACATCTGAGGAGCCTCAACACAAAATAACCATCCTAGGATAGTCTGTCCCAATTGTCTAAGTCACCGATATTCGCAAATTAGTTTGTTCACCATTCTCTTGGAGAGCTCCGTCTCCTGTCTACCTTCAGGGCACTTTAGACGTTTCAAACGCTGGACATCCACAGAAATGACTGCCGGGGCTGGACTCTTCAGTGGCAGACGTACTACTAGTCGTCTTTGTAACATTGGCATTTCAAATAGGTGGTCAAGCGCTCCATCGCTGTGCATATGGTACTTTGGATTTCCTGTAGGTATGAGTGAGTTTTCGCGGGTATTGTATCTTCACTCACAGAAAACCTCGTTACTTTTCATGAGTTTTCCCAAGTACTTCGTGCTTCCATCATTGCTTGCAGTCATCGTAAACGTTGTCTGCATCCGGTCCACGACAATCGGATCGACAACTGGCAATAGAACGCACTCACGCTGGGTTTTGTCACGTCACAGTGGCATGCCTTTTATAGACGCATAACTCACGGTTGGTCTTAGACACGCCCCGTAAAACCTACGCTATTTATAGATCTAGAGTTTGGCTGCATCTTACAGCATCCATTGTTTATTGAGCCAAATCTTCTCAGGACTTTACAAAAAGCTTACGTAGAACTTTTCACCTGACTTGGGTAGTAAAATCTCTGAGGGGCGAATTTCTCACAACTTAAGAAATAAATGAGAATCTTGCCTTAGCAAGGTATTAAGGTCAGAAATAGAACGAAGTCTAGGCTGAATGAACCAGATGCGCCTTGAGCCCAAAGGGCTTTCCTCTCTCTTGTTAACAATAGAACAATTTTGCCTAGGCGATGTCCAAAAGACCTTACCCGTTTGAGACGACCGATTAGGGATTTTTCCCAATTTCATAATTCAATTTGGCTGGGAGATTCAACTCCAGAAGAACTCCACGCCCGATTCATAAACACAATTTAAAAAGTGGACATTTTGCCCATGACTGAGATTCGCTTCCTCGAAGACCTTGATTAGGCGCTTGGACGGCACATTGATTGATAGCACTGACTTAACGCACAACGAGGGCAGAAGGCAAGTCGAGTTGGAAGCCGTGTTTCTATAGCTTGACTTTCCGTATGCTGTGGTGAACAACCGGTCCTACGGGAAGGCAATGATAGCAACAATATTGACAAAGTAAAGGCCAGTCAGCAGCTTGAAGAGCGAACGACTGGGGCGATCAGTTCAAAAAGCGGCAAACTCGCTTCTAGCATACGCGTCCAACCCGCCGTGTAGCCCGGATGATATGCATGGCGTGCTGGGTAGGGCTCATACAGTAAGTGGGTGTCGCATGTCTAAGTCTAGCCCCGGATGAGTCATCCATGGAATGGGGGGACCTCGGACACGTCCAACCACATGCATAATTATGTCCACTAGGTTCACGTCGATTGGGTGCATCCGAGCTGTAGATATGGCAGGCACGGCAACAATGCTTCAAATAAGAGTATCAAAGGAGGAAATGGGGGTCAATATCAAATAGACCATGATTTGGACTGGCAGTTTTAAAACTATCCGGAAACAATCTCCAGCTGGATCAACCAATCAAGACTCAAAGTTTTGCGTCAAGTAACACCAACCACCTCATGCCTAAAACCGTTGCTCATCACAATGATTAAACACCAAATGAGTTTAACTCAACTAAATTTTTTAAAATGGGTCCCATTTATTTTAGGTAATGCGATTGCTATCGCCCAGTTATTGCTTCCACTCCACTGGTAAACTTCTGTTAGATAAGTGAAATGGTGGAAGAGTCTCGCAGAAACATAAGCGATGGGTATATAGAAGCAACTGTGGAAAATAGATCTTTTATTTTTGTTAAATAATAGTTTAAATTTGCCCAGAAACACCACAATATCATCAGCTGCCTGATCTAAATCTTAACCAATCAAGGCCTTCCAATTTCATTGCAGATAGCACTAATTTTCGCTCGCCATGAATATCGATCGCCAAGTAGGCTAAAAATGCATTTGATGGAGTTGAGTAAACCAATGACACGCAGCGGCCAGATTTTTCTCTTACTGAGTGCGTGCAGGCATGCGGTTGGCCCAATGACCTTGACAAATCGCCAAATTATGCACGCACACACACACTCATGCATACACCTGGCAAAAAAAGAGTCTAACCAAAGCCGCCAGGTGATTTGAGTTGGAAACGAGGTGAAGCCATGGCCTCTACCTCCTCTACACTGTATCGATCCAGCCTATCCCTAGCTCACAGTCTCAATCACAGTCATGGTGACCTTGAGAAGGGGCACAAGGCGAGGGTCCTGCGGTCTGCTGACAGGGAGAAGCCAGCCCGTGGTATCTCCGTGAGCACTATCCCTCCCATGGACAGCGGAGCATGGAGAAAACTGACAAGGTTTCAACGCCGCTTCTACGAGTGGCTTGTATATGCGCACCACCTGCCCGTAGCTGGCGGAGAGGGTAATGAATATGGTAAGTTTGAGGCTTATAAAATCCACCCGGAAAATAAACTTAAACGTCTACAAAAGGCTATGTTCTTTACGCATTCACCCTTGTCCCAAAGATTGAAATTTTAAGCTCATCCTTTTAAGGCCTCAAAGTTGATAAAGGGGTTCGGAATATGTCCTTGAAAACTGGCCTTTTATGCGATTGGAGAAAGTGGCTTCAGGTAGTTTCCAATTGTAAGAATTGACGAATTACCTTCCTTAAATTAGTCATTTAGGTCGTAAGTAGAGCATTCTAGAGTATTTTCGCCAGAATTTAAATTTTATGGTAAAACCGAGTTTGCAACTGAATTGTAACAAGTTTCGGTGCTTCTCTCTGACACCTCTGCCTTCACACCCGTGAAACAGGCAGACTGGTTAAATGAGGGCATCTTTTGGTGGGTAGTGCTATAGGGTGGGTGAGAGGGATCTGCTTTAGTGTTATAACCACTTTCAACTTCTGGCAAGACTGGGGGGCTGCATTGGTGGCAGCGGACGGGGAACCCAATCCTTTTACCATTTCTATTCCTGATCGTTGAATCTAAACGTGATAGAAGAAGGGTATATGCTACTGATGGGCAAATCTGGGACCACTCCTATTGGAAGGATTGAAAATGACGTCTACCTTCGACAGCTACCCCAGTCTCGTGTTTTGCAGGAATGCTATTAACAACAGAGGCAACGCTAGCTGTGAGTCACCTGGAAAAGTTTTGTTTGAGGAGCTGTCTACGGTACCTGTACGAAGAAGCCAATGAAGTGAGCACACGATGCTTCATTCACCCTCCTAATAGCTGGATAGAAGTGAGACAGGTTGATATTGCCAGGCACCACTAGAGTGAGGGCCATGCGGCAAGGAGGAACTATTTTAAACAGTTGTGTACTCAGTCCTTCGATAGATGACTCTGTTTGTAGACTAGTGAAGGGTTATTTGAACTTGATAAATGTAATTCGAGTTTGGCTTATATACCAACCAATTTTATCTTAAGCTTAAGTTTTAAAGAGACGTTCCTTTGAAATGAAATGGTTTCTGTGGTTCAAAAAGAAACTAATGATCATACCACTGGGCATCCTCCAACGATCTACTCACTATCCTTCTCCCACTTCTGAGACACTGCGAATGTGTGCAAGACTTCAGACGGAATCGTCCCCAGTGAATCGTTCAAGTACTGAAGACCGGAGGCTAATCAAGACACAAGACATAATAAATCATAACCCAAAACTAATCCGTGGGAAGACATTCACCTTTGGATCTGATGGAATGGGAGACATAACCTCACCTCGTCCTTATCCCCGTAATTCCCCGGAAGCAGCACTGGGCAATGACATGCAAAGTTGACACTGGGACTATTAAAGTGAGGCAGAAATGGAAGTAATCCGGGCCGTTTTTTTGGTTCCTTAGCCAAGTCGTCTTATAACAATTGTTTGCAAGCCTGTATCTCTTTTGAGAAGGATTGCACCTTTAAAAGTGATCATTCAAGTGGTCAAAGAAACCTCGCATGGTTACTTATTTGTCACTGAGGCAAACTGTACTAACATAAATGCCTGTTCACTGTTAGCTGGGGAATGATAAAGGGTTTAAGTAATGCTTTAGCGACAATATGATTACTACTTTATTATTTAAGTAAAAGTTTTTTGCTCACGCAGATTCAAAGACTTGATTTCTTGCAATAAGTTTTAAGCCTACGCAAACCTAACTGTGCAGTAATTTAGTGCAGTTTATGTTAGATAGCAAAACTTTTCTAAGAGTTGAAAAATAAAGACTCAGGAAACTCCTATTTGTTAAATTATTTGTATTAAAAATGGTTAACACATCAACGCTGAAGAACTAATTATGGAATGCAAATTTGGCCTTGCGACATTCAAAAACGTGCACCTGAGGTACCTACGATTTTTTGCAAAAGCTTTGTACACTCAGTGTTTTCCTTAAAACCATGGTTGCGCCACCGATAAATCAAAGATGACTAACCAAACTTACTTTAAAACTGCCCAAGGGTAGGATCACAGAGTTCCCCTTCAGTCATTTTTCCTACAAAGACCTAGCAAGGTATTTTTCTTGTTATATTCCTTTTCAAAAGGCAGGAATAGTAAAATCCCATAAAATTTGTATCCTGAACGAAGGTTGGTAAACTTTTTTGCACACAACTGACCGCTTATAGCACTCACACACACCCAGAGTCCATAAAAATCTGTACATGAAGTACAAAATCCTACACAAATTCCTACCATGTTTCACGGAAAAAAACGGAAACAATGTGAATGAGCTTAAATTTCGCAGAAAGTGGGTAAATTTAGTGGTCCTTGAAGCTTATCTTAATTTTTTGCTATTATATGGTTTGTGTGTCTCAACTACTTGATTACCTTGCACCACAGTTTCCTCCTCCAGGCTAATGTAGGCAACGACGAATCTTTTTTCATCAACGTCCACGTTAAGCAACACTGCAGGGTCCTTGCACCTTAATCTCAAGTTATTTTACAGAATGGTGGCAAAAAATTCTTCCTTATTAGGAACAAAACACCTTTCAGATTGCACTTCATCGGTCCTTGAATAATTCCCTGTTAGATTCAAACACTTAAAGCCATTTCTGAGTGATACATTCTGGTAACGCTCCTTCATCCATTGTAGCCTATATCAAGAAACCCTATGAACTTGATCGGTCACCTGTCAAACATTTTCTTGTTCCGCTGTAAAAGCTACTATCATAGCAAAAGACTTGGCTAACTCCTTTCCTCCCAAAATCACTGCTTAAATATCTTGTAAATTCAGACATTTAAGGAAAGGCGGTACCTCCAGTCACTCGTAGGTAGAAATAAGCACACCAATCAACGGGGGCGTTGTCATTGGTTGCCGTCTGTCGACCAATCACGCTCACGCAGCTGCTACCTCGTCACTCCATTGCCAGGATGATAAAGATGACGCCGGAAATTGCAACGGAGGCAGCTGAGAGCTCGCCTCACGCACACGGTAGCGTGTGTACGCAAGAGGTAGCATGCAGCCAGGTTATCGCAATTACAACCGCTTTTCAGAGAATCTCCGCAATCAGCCACCTTCACTTCCACCCGTCTACAACGGCTACCGGCTTGGCGAGGAGGTGGAGTCGGGAACTAATGCTTATGACGAGGAGGAGTTGGATGGACAAGGACAGGCTTTCATCAGTTCCTCCTTCGAAGAGGGTCTAGAGAAGAATGTCTATTCCCCATATGTTAGTGGAATGGATGTGCGCTTGGCTCAATTTGTCAGTCAGCACAACGTCAACATGGGCGATGGAGCTGTCATCTATCCGGTTTCAGGGGTAGAGGATGCGGACAGTAGGAAGAAAAAGTATGTTAAGTTGTTTTGTGTACATTTAAAAGAACACTGCACCAAAAAGATGTTTCATCTCCTAGTCTCCATAGCTTTTTGGCTATCACCTTGTCAACATGACATTCCCGTTTATGTTGATGGCATGAGAAAACGAAGGTAGTTTTATTAGTGACTGACGGGGGAGCTGGAAGGCTAGTCACTTAAAATGGCATGCTCATTGTCTCATGCTGCCGGTGTGGAGATGGAATTGTGCACAGCCTGAAGGGCAGCTAGCAAACAGGGCAGCAGCATCACTAAATCGTGTCAACTGAGTTTAACACAAAAACCCAGTAGGATTTGGACGCTTTCGCCCTTTGAAAGGCGGGATTTTTATGTTTTCGAAAAGCATAACTTTGTCGGAGCAATAAAGCACCCATTGGTTCTGGTGTTCGGTTTTCCGACATCAGTGAAAGTGATAAAACTGCCGAGGTTCGGTTCCGGTACATTTCAATGCCAATGGATATCATGAAGATATATCTATTCTCCATGATATAATGGACAAGTTATTACATCTATGAAGGACGGAAAAGGGTACAAAGAAGGCAGAAATTGGTATTATTTCCTGACAAATGAACCTTGAATTCGTGATGCCTTTATTTCACAAGTGGCGCAAACAAATTCAAATGACATTGAGTTGGTCAATTAAACAATAAACTTTTGAGGCAATAACATCCTTTCATTTTTTAATTTTTAAAAAAGCAAAATTCATATTGTCTTGTAGAATTTTTAGCCAGGTCAAACCCTAACTCAATGCAATTTTCTATGTAGCTTTAAGATAGCTTGTAAATTTAGGCTTAAAAATATTTTGCGCCATTATTAGACGTTTATTTAAAGAAAATTCGTCGTCTATTAAAAGGGTACCGCAAGTCATGCCTCATTCGATGATAAGGGGTTCTAATCACTGACACTGTTTTTCACTTCTTTCACGGGTGTCGCATAAACACACCGTCGGTACAATATTATTAGCTAAGCAACTAAAATCTGATGCAAAGTGGCCTAAACGAATTAGAACCTGTCTTATCAGTTGTTTTCTATAGCAATCCTCTCACCACACAGCCCACACCTAGGAGGAACCCACTACTCCATCCCAAGGCGACGGTTCTTACCTTGTGTATGCGGGTGTAGTGCACACATGAGATGATGATAGTCCTCCAAGTGATGATCAGCGCCTCTTCTGTGGACGAGGCCTAGACAATTGGAAGCGAAATGGACAGCAGAGGAATGAAAGTGAACTAGATAAGGAAGAGACTGATGTTAGGTTTTTTTGGCCTCTGCAGGTAGGACTCTCTAGTCTGTGTCTCGTTAAGAAAGGGTTTTGCATTTCACGCCACTGATTCAAATAAATTGTAGTGCTTTCATTGTAGAAACATCGCATGAAGTTATTTATTACCTTGTAATAGAACTCGTTTTTGCCTCGAGATAATTACTTGTTGCCATAACTACGACGTTTGTTCGTTTATGGACGACAACTATGCTATACAATGAGCTCATTTAAAACCTCATAAATAGATTAGAGCACGCTTAAGTTTTATGCCACACGTTGATTCCCCTCTAAGATGGTTCTTCATTAATACTTACGTCGTTGACATTTGTGACACAAATTTTAACCTAAAAACATTATTTTAAATTAACGAAGTTGTTTGTATCTCCGTCCAACTGTTTTATTGACTGCGGAATCAATCTGACGAATCAAATTACTAAGACCTTACTATTTCCCTCTGATGAAAAAGACCTTGCATTTATTTTATTATTTAATACCCAGTCAATCTGGGTCCGGCAGAATTTCGTTTGCTGGGTTGGCACAAACCAATAAAGAGGGCGTGTCACATATATGTGACGCTGGTGGAAAATCTGTTAAAGTAATTATGTGGCCTCTCGCGGTGAAAAACACTTATTCGCTTAGAAAGTGGATTAATTTTTTTTTTGAGATTGTTGACTATAAGCCTTCTAGGCGCCCTAAAGACAGCCAAACTAGCTAGACCGACCTTTTGCAGAAAAAGTGGAAAGCCTGACCTAAAGTTATTCCCAAAATATTCTTAGTACCAAGTTATATAACAAAGAAAGAGCATGTTTCTAAGCTCTTTTGACTAGTTTTGCCTTCCTAATGACCTTATCTGCTGTTCTGTGTTATGTGGGATGCGAGTAGTTCCTGAAAAGACTAGGATCCACACAAAAGTGCACATTTTGACAAAAAATTTATTTACTTATTTATTAACTCACCTTTTCTTTACATTATGGGAAATTTAAAGCCAAGTTCTACGAACACAACGTAGTTAAATGTCACAAAATATCCTTCAACTAAAGGTTTAAATGCTTCACTCGGAACGGAGCACAAAATTCAAACATTTGTGGTATTCAGCCAGGATTTGTTGAATGTTTCCCTCACAGATTTGTTGCAATCAGTAGCAAAAATTTTTTGGACCTCCTGTAATGGATGTTGAATTAACTTGTACATTGTCAGAGGCGAATTGGAAAGTTAATCACCGTACCCCACAAAGTGCATATTCTACTTACAAATAATTGCAATTATCCAACTACTAATTTCGTGTTCAATTTCTTTGCCAAACATAATCTGGTGCACTTGTTTATCGCACTTGTTTGACGCTATCACCAAACGTTTCCTCAGAAGAATTAAATGACTTTTCATTTCGATAATATCATATTGTAACTACTACATTTTGTTAAGTAGTATGGTATAGGAACAAAAGGCCAAAATTAGAAACTTCTGGAGCCTGACTTGATTGGTTGATTTAATCGTAAGATGAGATACCATTTGACTAAGCAAAATCTAACCATCCCCTTCTTTTAACCAAGGGCATTCAATCCTCCATGCGGATGCACTCGACAGCAGTTCAGCTGGGCAGTGGGTGGGATCACAGTGGCAGTTGTGGTGGTGATCGCGGTGGCGGTCAGTTTGGGTGTGATCTTCAACCGAGTCGAACCCCTCCAATTCCCCGAAGCTGAGCCCTGGTGGACCCACGGCCTTGTTTACCAAATCCACGTGCCCACCTTTGCCAACGATGCTGGCGGAGCGCTGGGTCGTTTCAAGGATGTCACCTCTCGAATGGTCTACCTAGCTGACAAGGTTGGGTCGGCTTGATAGTTCGATTTGTGACTAGTCGCATCGAGTACACGCATCGACGTCTATATCATATACATCGAATTGTATTTTTACTGTCATCAATGAAAAGCCAACCACTCTTCTGTTGGCTTGTGTTACAGATCTACGCGACAGCAGCAATATTGACAGGAGTCCTGGATGCGGATAAAAATGGGGTGCGGAACTGGAAGACAATCAATCAGGACATTAACAGTGAGGGTGACTCGGTGGACGCATTATTGGCAGAAATGGACACTAGGGCAAGAGGGAATGAGATTGAGTTGATGCTGGGGATGCCGCTGTATGCCACAAGTGATAGACATCCCTGGTTCGCGCAGAGTATCCAAATGAACCCGCAGAGATTTGCCAACTTTTACTTGTGGAGAAAAGAGCAGGTAAATGATGGAAATAAAGTGAACCTTGGATTCCGTATTTGTGCTTATCAAACCCTTCAGACCAGATCCATCCATCCTGCATCCATCCATCCATTTATTCATCCTTCTATCCATCCATGCTCTCAGGCATTAATTCATTACATTCTAATTTCTTCATCTGGATGAACATCGAACGGGTGTTATCGTTTGCATCCCACTACAATTTTCAGCCCGTTAACTCAATTGAAGCACGCTACTATGCCTTCAACAATGTGAGAAAGGAGTACTACCGTCATGTCCATGGAAATCCATCATCACCGCTACTCAACCTCTCCGATCCCGAAGTAAAAATTATATTTCTTCCACCCTTAACAAACCCATGTATTTAGGGGTTCAAAACTACTGATTTAATATTAGTAGTTAGGTTAACAACCTTTAGAATAAAAAAAAGTTTTCGTTTAATATTCCTTTAATTCTTGCACATAAAGGTTCAAACAGAAATGAAGTCTGTGATTGCCTTCTGGAAAGAGGAGCTCGGGATTAGTGGAGTTTTCATTACCAACTCCACCAACATTTTAAATGAAATGGCAGCTCCACTCACCTCCATTTTGACCTCAGGTCTTGACAGTGAGTGAAACGATTTTAAAAAGGATGCTAAACTGCGGGAAAAAACTTAATTTTAATTGTAAACTTTAGAAAACACAGACGCCTTTACCTGGTTTGCCGACAATCCTACCGCCGACAAGCTGCTCACAGGCAAACCTCCCTGCTACTATGAACTGATTAGTAACGAACGCATTACCACCCGCACGGAGGATATAAATGCCCAGCTCTATTCTAGTGGGTATTATTAAGTAAAATCGACGCACCTTTTAAAGTTGAATTGCGTTTGCCTTCAAAGCATGAAGAAAAATTATTCCTAGGTGAAAAATACGGCTTTCGAGATTAAAGTTTTGCTTAACATCTGAGTTAATTTACTCTACGATCTTTAAGAAAATAAACGGCCTCAATGTTTCACTTTCAGTTCTCCCCGAAATCAAGCAGAGATCATGTTCACCAGTTTGGCGTCTCACACAACGTTCTGCTGATTTCACTGATTACTTTTCACTGCAAAAATTCGCCGCGTTTCTGCCAGGTCTCAGTGTGATGAGGGCAGGAGAGGAAGTTCAACTCGTGAGTTATGCGTGGAAATAAAAATACATTCCATTTACATCCATTTTTGGCAATAACAACTGCAAATAATATCAGATGACCGGATCAACGGAACTCATCCAATGGGATTCGACTAATCCAGCGGACTTCAAGACCTACTGGCCAATAAACGTACTGCCCGATGAGACAGCGAAACAGCGATTGGGGAGTTGGGAGCGATATGGCGAGAAGACAGTGGGAGGGGCAGGAACGATATTTAACACCGGTTGGGGAAACAGTGACGTTCGAGTTATGTCGATACCACGCACGGAGAACCTCTTTGTGGTGCAACGGGTCTATGTGCCCAACGAAGCACATTTTGCCACCTTTTTTGTTAGCTTTCAAGCATTGAATGCATTCACCAATCTGGCAGAGGTTGTGGCCACCTCAGATGGCAGTTCGATTGTCAACCTTGTCTACGAGGGGAGAGGTCTATTCGTGGGAAAACAGCTGCAGCTCAAGTGGGTGTATCTGGTCAATAATGATGTTTTTATTACATTATCTTGAAAACTGATATTGTGAAATATTAATGTAAATATTAACTCATTTGTAATATAAATGATTGTTTCCTTGCAATTGACTTAAAAATTTCAGGCACATATGGTTTATGGGGATGTTATGTGGCATTCCCGAAAGGATAAATCGCAAATTTTTTAAATAGCAAGAATCGTTAATGTTATGTGGTGTTTATTATAGCTCTCACAAAAAGAATCACTATTCATTATTTTGCGTGACTAAATAAAGTAGATAATATCGGTACGCGTCTTGTTCATGCATTTGAAAAGTCTGAAATATAATAATACAGTATTTGAATGTAACACTATCGAAGTGGCTTAATTGTTTACAGGATATGAGGCAAGCAAACTCTTCAAATTGGGTGGCCATAACAGTTAAAAACCACCCAAAGTTACAAGTTTTATTAAAATAGATGCCCCAGAAAGTAGCAAATATTGTCTTTTCTAAGCACCACTTGCCTCTCACTGGCCAATATTTGGCATAAACTGAGATGCGGTCTAAAAAATACCTCTGCACAGATCATTCCTAAACAAACACTCATATAGGCTTACAGCCTTTCCTTAAGTATAAGAAGGTGAGTAGATGGGCTGTAGTAAAGAAGTAAGAAACTAGCTACTATAATTTTTGTAAAATGCAGTAAAGTTTAGGTGCATGTCTTGAATAATTCACATTTGATTAATCAGCAAATATGCGGTCAACACAAGTGCTTAAAAAATTTTCGGTTAAAAAGCCAGAATTTAAAGCCCAAAATGTTGCTAAGAGGCCTAAAATAGTGAAACTGTCAATATTTGGCACGTCAAGTGCTACCTTTTAAGCCATCTGTTACTGCAACTACCACTTTGCGTCCCGACGATAGTTTTAATTGACTAACTCCGATGCGCTCCCATTAAATCTGCAGAACCTTAATCTCCTCCGCCTTGGTTAGTTCCACTTGATGCTTCTTTGCATGCTTGTACTTTGGGTGCGCAACAGAACTTTTTGACCTTTCTCCGAACCAAGTTACATTGTTCTAGCCTTGTTTGCATGTGCCACTACTGTTTGGTATCGGCAGTCTTTAGTCATTTACTACCGGATTGCATATACCTCGTATACGCCTATTGGCATTGTTATATTGTAAATTAGACATAATTTAGTGGTTTTTCAGTGTTTTATGACGTTGCCTAGGCTTTTACTTCACTGCTGTGTAATAAAGTGGGGGTCATTTTCCACTTTTTGCTTTAAATAGGTTACCAGTTTTTGCTTCTATAGTTTTTCGCTTTATAGTTCATTTATTCCGAGTTTTAGATCATGCTTGATTTTATATGTCATAGAATAAGTATATGTGGTTTAATTCCAACAGGTATATCTAGTTGTCAAATGCGTTAGTGTGGAGGTTCTGTTTTTCCCGTTCTTATCTACTTTTGGGAAACTTGCTAGTTCTTTGGCGCAATATCCATTAGTTGATCAATTCTTAGGTACCGTAATTGAGCTAAAAACAAATTTGGTTTCTGTTAATAACTTTTCTGGGGATATCGTGGATATAATAGATATTTCTGTGCTAATTCAGTCGCCTCTGTATCTCTGTTGTGCACATCCGGCTGCATATCTTTACATATCCTATCAGTATTTTACTTTTTATTCCGTTAAGTTTAATTTTCTGAGCATCTTCTGAAGGTAGAGTTTGAAGAATCTCGTTATTTCTTTATCTCTGTCTTCATGCACCTGATAGTGCACTATCCTAAAACCTGAATACTGCTATACAGACGTTTTTGCTTCGTAACTTTTACTAGTTGTTGCATATTTGTTGGTTCTAATTAATTTCAACACGTGGAAGTGCTTATTGTTGTACCTTTAATTGTATGGGTCTCAAAAAACTTCTCTAATTCAATTTCTAGCTTACTTTGTGCAACGTTTTCAACTCTCCTGCGCAATAGATAGTGCATTACTGTACGTGGCGCTTAGATTGTTATTGCGCTAAATGGAATTTCTCTCTTCAAGGGGAAACCAAAAACCTGCAGCCTCCGTTCTAAGTATCTAGACCTCATTCCATGCAGCCCATAGCACATTATGGTGCCTACACCGCGAGGGGCTACGAAGCCTCCGGGACGAGACCCATCACCTCTTCGTCCGCGATGCCATCAGGCGGCTACCAGCAGGCTACAAATAATACTTACGATGCCACAAAACTTCTGATTGGCGCTGTTGCTGCTGCAGCTGCCGCTGGCTACTCAAGTGTTCCTGTAAGTGTACTCAGAGAGAAAACCAGAGTGGAACAATGATTTTGGCTCATTGGCTCTATTTTCAACATAGTTGTGCGATATTGGTAAAAATGTTCTGCTTGTTAAAAGCTTTAAAAGCTTGAAGCTTATCGATGGGGCCATAATTTCGAAGGCACCTTGCTGCTATTAGAACTGTTTGGTTAATATTAATTATATGTAACTATTAAATGGACGGAAAAATAGAATGCTTTGGTGACGACTTTCGATTTCCTCTACAATTCTAATAAAAACCATAGTGACAAACGATCTCGAATGTAGGAAGTTAATTTATTAACTGATCCACAATTCCAATTTTACAATAGGAGTTTACCCATGGGGTCTGATTTCATCATCTTTGTCGGTCGATTAACACACTTAAATAATATCAGAAACGAGAAGCTCATAAGAGAAAGTTTCTACAGTCTAGCTTGTCCACCCTGCCTCAGGGAAGTTCAGAAGTGTCAGCACTATGCTAGTTAGAAGTGTGCTAACATTTTATACCAGCCCACTTCGAGCCTAATATGATTCCGTTAAGTTGGAATCTGTCGGAAGCTTGGTGATGACCCAATCTATTGTAATCAAGTTTGTCGCTTATCAAAACGATTTCTCTCACACTTTAATACCACAAATGTGATTAAAATGCATAAAAAAGTCATCTGGTGAATCTAGTCTTGGCAACCAGATGTGTTGAGATCAAAAGGTTAGAGTATTTTTTGTACTTTCGACGCCGGATTAAGTTGTTACACTCACTGAGCGCGCTTCATGATAGCCTTGTCCACTCCCCGGGTCAAATTTACCATGGCATCATGCTACCAGCTTGAAGCCTGAATCGCAGACCCGCATTTCTAAATCTGCACCGTTGAAGTGGAACTCGCTTCGCTGTATTTGGTTGTAAACCTTGTCGCCGTTGCACACGTCTTCCCACAATTGTGGGTTCGTGCGTTATATCTCGATTTCGCCACCGTTCTTCGATACCGCATTACTAATGCAACTAAAATTTTACGAGAAATGGGAAGACTATCCATTTGCAATCCACTTTGTCAGTTCACCAATCTGAGTGCTTACAATATGATCAAAAAACTGCGGAGAATTTCTTTTTTATTATCTATTCTACTTTATTCCATTGCCTAGAATCCCCTTAGTATCACAAACATGATCGGCGCCGGTACCACTGATGCAGCGGCCTATGCAAGTCGCTATCATGCAGTCTGTCAAGCTGCTTACCAACACCAGTACTACGACTACCAGCAGCATTACGGCAACAGTGTCAATCTCCAACGCCACACTTCCGCATTTCAGGCACCTTTCGGCTACGGTCTGCCACAACAACCACAATATCCCTCCACATCTGCTAGCATCGCAAAACCTGCCCCTTCAACACCCCAGGTACTGATGCAGTTAGTCTTCGATGCTTTACCTACTAAGTATTTGTGAGCGCACATAGTTTTATGAACTTTTATTTGTAGACTTCCAAAACCACAGCAACAACAAGTAGAAAGACTAGAAAACGACCGCCGTCTAGCGCTTCAACGAAATTGGCTGCGACTGATGCAAAGAAGCGTGAGGACTTCGATAAGCTTGTTCGTGCTAGGACAGACAAGCTGCTTTCTGATGGACCTCTATTTGTTGTGAGCAGCTGGTTTGAAATCACACTTATCCTTGCCCCACCTTGGCTATGTTTCTGGCTAAAATTATTACCCCTCCGTTTAATTTCTAGCCGCTCTCAGTGAACGAGGCTGTGGGAAATGCCTCTTCGACATCGTCTTGCAATTCTCTCGCCAATAGTGCTGAAGGTGCTTCAGCAGCCGCCGTGATTGCCGCTAGCAACTCACGACTCCTTCGAACTGTGCTTGATGAGAAAGTTCGCAAACTCATGACATCTCCATCCGTGCGTGGAGTGCTCCGATCGAGGCAGGCGATGGTGGGAGCGCGAAAGCGAAACAGTGAACTCTTCGCTGTGCAACAGCACCCTGCACGCAGCTAGCTAGTCGTGCTGTCGGGGTGACGTGCGGGGCTTTTTTATACCTCTTACTGCTACCCCTCACTAACTACCCTTTTAGTGAACACTTTTTTAAACCTCAAATGACTGTCTCCTCTTTGGATGTAAGTGTATATGTGTGTAGATGTAGGAATGTATGCATCCATTCCAAATTTTTGTAGCTGACACGCCTATTCACTTTTTGTACTCTGGCTTTTTGTACGCTCTTATATGGACACTTTTTTACTACCAGTGTGAATGTGTGTGCATTTGTGATGGACTGGCAGGTGAGACGTAAAACCTGTGCATTTCGACATTGTGGTACACTTTTACTATTTGTTAATTATACATTTGCTCTTTTTTTATAAGTTAAACTTCTGTGGTTGGATGTGGGTCATGGAGTGTGATTTTGTGGCAGGACTTAAACGCAGCTTTGCAGCTTCACACTTGGTTTAGAAAGCCCATAGCAAACCGACTGATCGAGGATCCAAGGAGTTCTTTTGGACTTTTAAAAAATAGAAAGCTTTTCCGGAGGTCGGGATGGAAATTCACTGAACTATTACTACTCCAATCATACTCTGAAGGTAAGAGAGCTAGCCAAATGGGTCTTATTAGCGAAATATTAGCTGTTTATAGCGTTTTATGAGATTTCCCGCGTCCAGGCAATTGGACCATCAGGTTGGTAAACATAAGCATAGTCGTTCACATCCTTGGAATGCTGGAATCAGTTGACAAGACATGGCATTTGTATGTTTTGCTACGTTAAGTGATTGCTTCCAAACAATCCACCCACTGCCCTTCTCTGCAATTCTGTGTCTGTGTGGTGGTTTGCGAAAGGAATTGTTCACCTGCGAAATGTCAAAAGACGACTTCGACCGAGATCCATCTACTCAATCCAACTCGAAAATGGCTGTTGGGATTGATGATTCAGTCAGGGAAAAGGAATGCCTTCCAACAAGATATCACAGTACAAGATCGTATTTTGCATGCTATAAAGCCAACTCGTCGAAAAGATTTCTGGTATGCCAAGTTATTAAACACGGCAACTGTCAGATGAAAGGATAGCGGAGATCAGAAGTGCTAAATTTAACCTTATGGCGGTAATTCTGTCACCGAAAGAATGCACAAACTTTACGCCAGACAAAAGTACTTCCTCGGGTCTCCTTCTCGCTGCTCTAAAAAGCCATCAATTCGAGCCAAAAGAAATAGCAAATCGGTGAATTTTGTCCACCCACGCAAAATATGTCAGGAAAATGAAAAATAATTGGGAGGTAAGGTGCAAGAGGAACGTTTTTCGTCGAAAAACTACAGAAAATGGCCATTACGAGAAGCGTCTGAAATAACTAGGGTGAAGAATGCGAAATGCCAACAACATAATCATGTAAGTTGGGTGTGTAAAAAACTGCAGAAAACGCACGAATTATAAGTGTTCTACAAATAATGTCGTCTGTGCCAGCAACTTACAGACTCCTTCTACACAGTTTAATGAGTAATTTGGCCTCTTTAAGAAGCTTTTAGAAGTTATTATTGGCACCCATTTTTGTAGTGAATTCAAAAAAAATCCCTCATTATACTCAGTTGCAGAATCCAAATAGAATAAAAAGTTAAATAAAGAAGTGGTTTTAGCAGTATTATGTGCATCACCTTTAGCAATTGCACTTGTTTAACCGTAGGGTGTTTATCAACGCATATTTTCATAGTGAATTTTACAGCAGCATGTTTTGATAATCAATATAAGTAGATTTTGAACCTCAGGCGACTATAGAATTTGTGACGTACGCCTCGTTTAACCCCGAGATGGTCATTTATTGTGGCTTCCTTATGGTCTACGCATAAGTATTTAACAAAGTCCTGCCAATGTCCAAAATTTGTCCGATTCAGGTAAATAATAGACGTTTGGGTTAATTAGAAAGATTGCCACCCAGCTGAAAACAGTTTTTAAAAAACCTGCTAATTTTTGGTGCTAAAAAGCCAATCATTACTGTACGAGAGATGCTCAACACGAATCTGCGCGGGATGTGATTTGTGGTGGCAACTTACATAATTCCACCAGCATCAAGTTAACCTTGAAGTGATTTGTTATAACGGCAATGCAATATCACAGAAGAGTTGGGCTCTTAGACAAAAAGCAAAAATTCATTTTCATAGAATCGTTTTGCTTTTAGATGCAACACACAATGGAAAACAACTAATGCATTTTGTAGCAACATGGTCTCTGTGAGGGAGAAAAGCCTGATAATAGCCGGGTCATGAAAAATAACATTTAAGAGTGTTTACGATCAGGCCTTTGCTCGAATCCAGATTCTTGACTGCTGCGCCATTATTTTTGGCCCACATTGCCCTAACCCTTACTGCATTTTGCCACGATATCTGGAATAGGAAAATACTGTTGGTGACGTTTTTGTAATGTCTATATGCTCAGAGCACAGCAAATGATTTTTCGCAATTATTAAGTGCCAAAAAATATTTTAATGAAAAATTCTGCCATGCATGTAAGAAATTCCGAGGATCCAACCTCCCATTTTTGTCTTTAGCCCAGAGGTTCGAAACCACTAACTTTCACGTTAAAAGCTTTTGCTTAATAAAAAGGTAAGCAAGGAGATGAATGAAGAGATAGAACCTAGAAGGGACAGATCGGGATGCGATTATGCCCAAACTCAAGTTTTGGGATACACTATGGCTGGCAGAGATTTTATCGGAGGAATTTGCTGAAGGCATAGCCAAATATCTAATTTAAAGTCCTTCATGCATTCACTTAATTAGAGCAGTTCAACGTAGCTATGATTGGTTTAAATTTTTTTGTAGTCGCTTCATCAGAGAACAGTTTTGAATTGTAGCTTCGACTTAGAATAAAACTGTTATTCGAACACACCGTAAAGTAGGCGAATTTTGTTTATAAGAGAACAATAATTTTTACCCTCAGTGGTAAATAATATGCTCATCATTAATATGTGCTGAGCACATATTTGCGTCGTGTACAAATGATAAATATGCTCTCTGTGTTACGCCCACGGTAAAGTTTTAGTTTTTGGGTACGTCAGATACAGCAGATTGTAATTTGAATAAAGAAGGAAATATTTTACGTGATGAAGCAACACGCTGCTTTTTAACGATGACCTACTTCAAAACAGTCGTTTGACGCCAATAATCTGCATAGGACGAGTGAAATTATGCAGCTGTCCATGAAGATCTCGTCAAGAACCTCTGAGATGCCTGGCCATTTATGTATAATTTGCAGGATTAAAATTCGACCCCGAAGCTAATCGAATAAAACTAATCATTTAATTGCTGCATTCGGGTAGTGATTTCTCAGTTAATGTGAAAACAGCAGCTGATCACAAGTGGGAAAGTTAGGGATTTTGAAAAAGTGACACACAGACTCTTGTCATCATACATTTTCATATTTTGCAAATTATTTTTTATGCTTGAAGTGCGTATCTTCGTTAAGCAGGATCAATACGGTTTCTCCAAGGTCAAGTAGAGGAGTTGGATGGTCCTCAAGTTCCCAGATTTAGTATATTCTTAATTCACGCAATGGGACTTGTTAATTATATTTCCGTCCGCAACATCACCTTTAAACGATCAGCACTATCAGCTTAACCAATATCTTGATAATTCCTTGGAAATACTAGCTCGCCATTTTCTTAAGAGGGCATAAAAACATTTAAGCGATTTCCTACTTTAGCACCATTTTCAGTACGTTGCAGTGATGAATGAGTATGCAAGTACTATTTTTAGATTTCAAATTATTTGACTTTTTTGCCATTAACGTTATGATTAGTGACACTGTATTGATCGAGTGTGTAGAGCCATTATTAGCAAACTCATTCTGTGCATAATGGGCGGCCGAATCCCCATCTAGTTATAAGGGTGCACAGTTAAGTAATGCTGATCAAATAGGTGACTATTTCGAGATATTTACTCTGCGTCCAATTAAAGGAGGGTAAGGGTTCCAAAATCGGAAAACAATCACCTAATTTGGGCCAATCACTATCTTACCGGCAGCAAGGCTATAAACCAATCACACAAGAGGCTGGTATTCTGATGACTATAAAAACCCCCTTCTACGCATTCCTGGGTCCATTTGCAGCAGTCATGAGCCACCAGACAAATCACCTCCTTCGTCTCGCCTTCTTCCTGGCGGTGAGTTTAGCCGGAGCCTCTACGATCCGGCCGCGTACCGCTTCAGAGCTTGAGACTACTGATCCCGAGACATTGAACGCACACAAAGACTTTCTTAGTCTTCTCCGTGGTCCTCTCATACCAGCAGCTTTCATGAACCCTCATGGGGCCAGAAACAATCCTCGTTGCACAAAGAGTTCCCCTTATGTGGATATGGATGACAAAATATTCGTGGAAGAGCTTCCAAGTCCACGGATCGAGAGCAACATTCGAGAGATCATAAACACTTTTGTAGAGGCGCTGAAAGCACGACAAATCCTGGTTCGTCTCCCTTCTCTTCCAAATTCGCAAAGAACAAAAGCGGAGGGAATCCGAGTCCTGCAGTGAGGCGGAGTGCATCTACAAGATCCCCTGCTACCTCTCTCAAAGCTTTCGCTCAGTGCCCATGTACAGTGAGATGCTAAAGCGCGCTCGAGTGAGAGAGGGCTTCGATCTTCTAAGCCGGCGACGGCGCAGCCTCGATGGACTCGAAATGGATGCAGAGTTTAAATCTCTGATTTCGAGTGGCAAGGCGCCTGTCACAAACTGTACGGGTATTTTTGCCAATTACTGTTACAATTCCATCTCCTGCATTTACGTCAGCGTTCTGGAGAGCGCTGCTTGCTCGTAAGTTGGCCACTTTTAATGTGCATAATCTCTCTCAAGGTTGAAACAAATCCATGAGTGTTTACTTACTAGAAAAGATGTGAGATCACTTCCCGACCACGCAGAGGTTTAAAATACCACACTAAATCCCTAAAAAATATTATCTGTGCCGACTCTGCACACATGAGGGTGGTTTATCATCAGGCAAGAATAAATTATTGCATTACATCATGCCTTAGACTAGTTGAGTTATAGGTAATGGATGTTCTTGAGATTAGGCTTGTTGCGATTGTCAGGAGTTGATCGCAGGTGCTCGATTATCTCCCAGAATCCAATAGCAGACGAGTTCAGGTGAAGCAGAAGGCAGCAGAGTCGCCTACCGGGGCATAGAAGCGATTTAAACTGCACTTTCGTTGGCAAAAGTAGGAGTAAACCGCATTTATTGCTGAGAGGGAGCGATAAAACCGAGCCACATTCTCTATAAAATGATTAGAATCATAAAGTTACAGAAACTTCTAACAAACTGAAGGAATTAAGAGCGTTCTGAGAGTCTAAATTAAGAATTTACGTAATCGGCGTTGTTTAAAGTTTCGCAACGCAGATGTTATTGCCAGACCTCTGTTCAGCATGACCTGAAATGGTAAACAGAAACTCCTGCTTTAAATGGATTATGGGACCAAGGCTCGGTACTAAAAAGATCAGTTTATTTTCAGAGCCTCAAATACTATGAAAACGAAAGATTGCCCTTTAAATTCTTCCGCAGGACTCAAAAAGCATTCAGAAGGACTGACAGAAGAACAAAATAAAGATGCTGGTTTACGAGGTAAAGTTGACTGTAAATCGTTGGTTTAATGCAAGAGAGAGAGTATTTGAGAAATGTGTTTTAGGATTCACTCCTATGGCGTGGACAGTAGATATTTGTAGTGTTGATCAAATGATGGGGGCCTGGAATCAACAGATATCAACATCAGAGACTTCTAGAACACTGCAGAAAGAGGTGATCGTAAACTATTAGGTAGTCCGATTGCGTGAATGATGAGTGACAGTGAAGAATTTGTGTTTAGACCTTAGTTGCATCAACAAGTATCACAGTAGTGCCACAACATCCGTGACAGAGGGGACAGTGTGTATCCTAGTTCGCTCTGAATAGCCATGTCACGGCTCGTTTAAACTTACCGGATATGGTACTTCAAGGGGTCGTATTAAAAAGCTAGCAAATAAAAAACAAAACCTTAAAGGGTAGCGAAGCACCAGAACTCCACTGGAAGATTTCGTGCCGTCTTGAAGGCAAAGCTACTTCACTTGCTGGGATGAAATCACAAAGACGTCATTCCTAACATTTATCAGAACCGAAGCCATAAAATGCGGTATGCAACAGTGGTTGTGGGCATAGTTGTGTGTTAGTCATCAAATAACAGCGATACGGCATAACCTGAGGTACATCCATTATACCCCTTGTCGTCCCGTTAATTGTTCACTAACCACGTGGAGGCTTTTGATTAATTAAGGAGAATAAACAATAAAAATCTATTTTTCCCATTCGTTTAAAGACAGAATCTTGCATTAACTATAAGAAAACATTTTGCTTAGATGATTTTTATCCCAAGGAAGTTCACTGGTTAGGTATGAAACTATTGTATGTTTGTTACTGATTTTTGGACTCCCTCCCCCTCTCTCTCCCTAGGTTACAAGTGGTCGATGACTTTGTTTGGGATAATTTAAAGAAAGGCATTTTAATTTCTTTTTTAAAGTCGTGGAACATAAAATGCCTGATTTTAGGGGCCAAATAAATTCCTTTAGGGTTGTCATACTACTTAAAAGTTGTATAGACGATGAATCAGTGAAAGGGGAGACAACATATCTTTACGCAGTGGTGGTGGAGGTAATAGTTCATCTTCTTTTTGTCAGAAAGTGAAGTAAACCTGATTAGTCAGGCCTCCCTTTCCTTGGATCGAAATTCCCAAAAGGTGAATCGTCTTAGAGTAATTGGAACATTGCGGTAAGCCATAACAATAGGTAATCAGATTGGACTGAATGGGCATCACATGAATGCATGATTTCACACCTTGGTTTTTGCAGCTTTTTGAACCAAAAGGTCAAGGCTAATTGGAAGTGGTCTATTCGCGCATCCACATGATTGACCTTTTCACATGTACCCTGCCAAACAGCCTACCCAACTAGATTCAGACAATAAAATGCCCAACAATTATTCTCCCAAATGGAAATAGAACCAGTAGAAAAGGAAGAGGAAAAAAGAGTAGACACGATTACTCAATCAAGACCAAATAAACGTCATAAGCATCAGTACTTGAGGAAGTTGGTTTTTTAATTGTCCTCTTTCAAGATTTGAAGGCATGCGACTCAAGGTTCTGTCATTTGTATTTTGTCTGCCTCAGTTTAAGAAATTGTCTACAGTACTAGCCTCCTATTTAATTACTTCCGGTCACAGAACTGGGAGTTCTGGGTCATACTCCATTCTATTTCCAGCTGTCTCCAATAGCACAATCAAGAGGGCATGGCAAAAGGCTTTGGCAACGTGGGCCCATTACCTGTTCTTCAATAATTGGTGGTACTGCTGCTGCTCTGAGGAAGATAAAGTGACCACAGAGCAATACTAAAAGGTCTCGATAAATGCCAACAATGCGAAACATTTCAGACATATGTGGAACGCTTCTGAGTGGGTGCCAGAAGGTTTCTAAATTTGGAAGTTATGGTAATAAGGTGAACTTTGAATGGAATTCGGAGACCTTTATGCCAACAAAATGCTTTGTGTCGATATCGTGATTGCTCTCACGCAGCCTCTTTAGGCACTTGGACACTCTTAAGAGGGGAAGCTGAAGTGGATGGGATTTTTGGTTAGCATCTTATCCCAAATTACGCAAATCTGACACAATTTCGACAGAAGCAAAGGACATTTCTAAAATACCTCCTACCCCTTGGAAGCTGCAAAGTTTGACATGCTGAAATGACGTTTGTCACTTTTTATTGTAAGGAGGATCAGGTTGAATCCAAATACGCTTAAAGGAGTAGCTATAGAAAGTCAAAGGGTGTCTTGAATAAAAAACAATCGCTGCGGGCTTTAAGCACACAGGTCAACCATCTGGATGGGCTACTTATTATTGTCATTTTTCGTAGATTGCATTTATAGTGATGAAAATATGGATCATAGTGATCGCCCTTCAGCCAAGAAACACTCTTCTTTTACTTTAGGCTCAACGAATCTGTTAATGTTGCATTTTACCACAATCACTTTCCATAAGCTGATGACAAACACGGAGAGTATAGTGCAGTTTACAGAATGGAACGAAAAAGTGGTGTTACACAGAAGTAAGGCAAACTCCAGTATTTAAAAATATCCATTCTGATTTTCGAGAATATAACTTGATAAATTTGACCAATCAGAAACAAACCTTTAAATGTCAAAAAGTAAAACATTGGCAAGATGAAATAAAAGAACACTTCATCATAAATAAATTTATTAAAAGGTGGGATTAAAATTTTGTTTATTAAATCTTCATGCATTTGCAAGTTGAAAAGTTGAGAAACCGCTCCAAGGGTCAACCGTGCGATTTGTTGTGACTTCAGGTGTATGCCGGGTTACACAGGTCTGCGTTGTGACCTCTATGACCTCTCGATAACCTTGGCCACCCTGTCTCAGTTTCGCACCACCACAGTTGACATCGAGGCTCTGCGACCTGAGGATTCTGCAACTATGTACAGTGTTCTCGATGCTACTGCGTAAGTCCTTAGCCTACTTGGGAATTACTCCCTATTGCCTTATACCCTACAAAAGTGCCGTTCGCTATGTTTTTCCTGAGGCTTCAGCACAATGAGGAGGTGATAAACGGAACAAGGAGCTGAAGCACTGGAAAGGAAACATATACCTCTAACACAGACTTTAGTGTCTCTGAGTTAATTTAAGGGGTTTGGTGAACTTTACGGGTGGTAGAACTAAGTGGTGATAATGTGGGAAACCCTTCGAATGAAGTTGCAGCAAATTTCTATTTAAGAAATAACTTCAACTCAGCCAATAGAGCCAACTATTTAGAAAGGAGAGGAGACTTTTACCATTCTACTATGGTTAAATCCGTTTTCCTTGTATGGGAAAAGATACCAAAAAGAATCACAGATAAGGTCGAGTACGAACTAGGTAGCGGAGATCAGTCTTAAAAGCGCGGGGTTTGTGCGAGCTTGATAAAGTAAGTTCCAAGGATGAAAAAGTCTGAAAAACCTGAATATTAGTAAAGTAGATCTTAAGGAGACCTAAAAATTTTCATGGTTATATTTAAGGATTTTAAAAACCTAAATATTGACATTTCCCGGCCATAGTAAAAAATTGAATAAAAATGATAACTTAAATTATTGAGGTCTTCAGAAAGGTAGAATAGCCAAATTTGCCACCTTTAGTTGTTCAGTACTTGGATAAAACACCCAGTTGCTAAGCATTATTAACAATAACTATCTACTCCCAGTCCCAATGGACGCAAACTAGCTGTTCCATTCCTTCCAAAATTGAATTGCTCTGTCAATTCTGAGCTGCAGGTCTCCTAGTGCTCTGCAGTGAATCGGGATAGAAGCTTTGCACCACCTTTGGGATCCGAGAGAAAAGTCCGATCTCAGTCCAACAGGTTCAATGTTCATCCCATGATATGAGATCTCAAAATAAGTGGAAGGCAGTAGGGTTGACGACAATGGGTGCCGAGCTGTACCGATGGACTGAGGCCTGTCTATGCTTTATGCTGCATGCTCATAAACAGCTATTTCTTCTTCTCTGTCCTTTCAGACGATATACCTACTCGGCCTTCGAAATAGAGGACGAAGTTTGAACAATTGCACTTCCCGAATGCATTTTCACCCTCCTAAAACCTTTCTTTTTTATCTCTCTCTTGTCCTCTTTTTACGCGAGAACAACAAGTTCTTCACTTGCGTATGCATGCACTTGTCACGTGACAAAAATGAGAGGGGACCTTCAATTTTTCACTTGATTCTCCATCCTTGTAAATATCAACATGCACACACTCGCACGTAACATTTAGCTTCGAGTAGACACAGATCCACGCGAATAAACACTTCCTTCTTTCCTTTACACACTCTCACTTTGATAATTTTATAACTGAGGATAAGTTGGGATCACAGAAGTGCGATAACGAAGCCTTAAATGCCTTCGATACTCAAACCAAGTGTTAAATTATCACAGAGCTCCTCCCCCCACCTCCTTTTGAGTGACTTCCTCCGTGCTTCCTTGGTCGGTCTCCCTCGTCTACCATCACAGCATATTTGGCGCTGTGGGGAAAAGCTCTCGCGAAGTCTTCGCACTATTCATCGAATTTGCTTTCAACCGAGACGATATCTGACTGCAACATCACAGACCACGCCTTGCAATTTTACTAAATCGAAAGTTTTGCCCTGTCCAGGAGCTGTATTGGGGAAGGGGGAATGCGATGGCCATCACATACGTCCATCGCCAGCTGTAAGAACGCTGGCCTAAGCACGGAGTCATTTAGTAAAGGATAGGGGATAGGGTTCCCCATTTATTCCTCCTCCTTACTTTGTCCCGCGTCAGTGTTGCTTACCTAAGGTTCATCCAACCGGTAGGGAGGTGGAGGAGGTATCGCGTGTTTACTTAGTTGACACCTTCATGCAAATACCGTAGGCAGCCGCGTAATGCACTAGTTCAGATGGTTCACGGATAGTGTCGCTTCATTTGTTAACAGCATCCCGAGGTAAAGTGAAACTGAGGTAACTATCAAATGCAGAGGTCATTTTCAATCCATCTGGTAAGGATTATAACAGGATCCCATTCCACAGCATATCTCCTTCAATCAACTCGTATAGTTTTGCATTCAGTAGTCAAAAGCAGGGTAGATGTGTTTATGACCGAATATAGTTTCCGATCTTTCTAACGAAGCGCCCCGAGTCTTCTCTGCAGTCAAAAGAAGTCATAGGAGAACAGTAGAGCTGAAGCTACCCGCATAGTCCGAAGGCTTCGCAGCCCCACGAAAATGTAAAGGAGGAGCTTTAATTTTCGCGCTACCGAAGTTGAGTGTTAAAGAAACAATCAAAGTATGACAGAATTATAAAATGATTGAAATTCTATTAAGTAAAGTGCACCATAGAATAGGTTGATGATTCCATTATGTAGGAGGTACAACACCGCTTGTTTTGGTTGCGCAGGAAGTAACTGTTGAATTCACCACCGAGATGGTGCTGAATTTCACACCTCACGTTGAGCCAAATTCGAGGCAAGTCTTTATTTAAATAGCCATATTTCTTTTCAAATTAAAATATGACCTTTCCGGCATCGTGGAAAACTTTTCGACCAAGTTCATGTGCCTCTAAAGTAAACAATCTCTCCGCCCCTTGGCGCCTAAATTAACTGAGGATGTAAGTGCCATGTTACTCGGCGCATCCCACAGATTCCCTTCAGGCATTGCAATCATAAAATATGGCCAACAGGAAGGTGGACAGCGCTGCCCCTCCATCCTTAAAGGTTGAGATTGTCTGAACCTTTCAATCCACTCATAAAAGAGGCACCTCTTAAGAGTGATTTGCACACACATACGCACATAAGTTCCTTCTCCCACCCCAAAAGTTCCCATTGGCAAATCTCCCACGGTACTCTTAACTAGTAGGATGAAATTCCCAAAGCCAATCGTGACATTTAAACCACGGAAATACTTCAACAGGGCACACCTTTTGATAAAAGCACGCACCTCATCCTTCGCTGAAGTCGTAAAGCGTGCGCAACAATGCGCGGTGAAGCCTAGGCTATAATTATTTCTCGGGCGAAAGACTTATAAACAGTCGTCTAAATATGGACAGAAATGTGTTGTTTTTCTTGCGGGATGGAGGCGGGGGAAATTATATTAATTTTTTTCCTTAGGGGCTAATTAAGCAGTACCCGCCTTACTCCCATTTGCTACATGTCTAGCCTCTTTTGAGTGTGAGCATCTCCTGTCAGGAGACAGTGATATTCCTCACTTTGAGGTGATAGGCAAGGAATTCGACGGATGGGGGAGGCGTTATCCCCGCTTCCAATTTTCCCCTGAATGCGAGTCTCTTCATGGACAGGCATTGTGGCACATGATCTAAGGCATACAGTAGGATTGGAAGGAAAATTTTTTCCCACTTACCCACGTGTCGCGAGATGTTAGACGTCAAGTGTTCGGCCTTCTGCAAGATATGCATAGCCAACATTTCCACCGGCAGTCCATCACATTCGCAGATATTGTTTGCCGCGGACTGCGTGGGTAGTGAGTGGTTCGCTTAAAGACAGAAAAATATCACAGCAAGCTCGTTTGCTTGGCGTTGCAATGTACACACACAAAACCTACATCTCATTGAAAGTCAGACAGTCAAAAAGTAGTCTAAAGTGCAAGACGCATTTTTTATATCATGCATAAACCCAGTGAATGGCAGTCAAATAGCCTTTGAAGCTTATTACTGTCTGTTATTGCCACCCGGCGTATGAGTGATGCCTGTCATTTTAGTTACTTTTAGTGTCAAGTGCGTTTTTATAAGTCAGCAAAGGTGCTGCCTCAAATCAGTGACGCATTCATAGAAAGCAAGCTTCAATGTAGACAATGAGGTCCACCTTTTTACAAGAAATAAGAAGCCTTCTGAAAGGTTATTTACCTATCTCTTTAGGAGTTACCATTTGGAATTAGGTAGTTTAAATCACTTCTGGGGGAGGGGATCTGCTAACGCCACTTCTGTAAATAAGTTGGACGTTCTCCAATTAAGGAAAGTTTTCTACATTCAAAGTAAAATATCAGCAACTTTCAACTTCATACTTAGATAAACTATCTAGACTGCGTTTCAGTCCAGAATAAAAAAAATATATCAAAAAATTGAGTAAACGTACTTTTAATTTGCATTAAGCTTAAAAGCTGTTTTAAAATGTGCGTTAAACAGCTTTAAAAATAAACTTTTCCTCAGTTAAAAAGTTAAAATGCCGCTGAGCTCCAGTTACGAGTCTGGGAGACAGAAGTTTATAACCTTCCTACTTATAAAATAAAGTAGATAGTCATAAAACTGTTTCAGTAACGGTTGGCAATTTACTAAATAGTTAGATTTTCTTTTAATACGCTTTGAAAGTAGAACAGAGAGATTGTTACCCACGACAAGCACGTTATTTAACAGAAGCTTTCGGTAACTTGATACGCCTGTATTATCATAACATCTTTTGGGAGTGGGTTGGAAATGCTTATCCTCATCCAACTCCTCAGTCTTTTGTGTCACGTTAGGGAATTCAAAATGTTAATTAGAATGCAGTCTATTTTATACCTTTAATGTTATGAAGAATTTTTTTGTCTTATTTAACTAATACTGCGCTATTAAGGCGATAAACTTGTAATGCCACTTCTGAATCGGAGATTGGTTTAACGAAATGGAAGTTAGGGAAATATTCCCTCTATAATTAATTTATGTTAATATGGTGCCTCGAGTCTCTGTTAAATGTGTAAGAGGGCTTATGTAATGAGAACGGAGAGGCTCTTGTCGTGGACGAAAAGGCAAGTAGCACAAATACAGCAAGGGAAGCAGTATAGACGTAAAATCTCGACAAGTTAAATAATAAATCAAAGTGGCTTTCACACCTTTGCCGTAATAATTTTTCCCTTACTACCACCACGAGTTCATTTAGGTAGCTTTAAGACAGAAATGAGTCTAATGAAATGTACTTGTCTTAGTGGGGCAACACAATGGTTCGGATCCGTGCATCTTACACCCGCCGTTGTGTTTCATTTTAAAACTGCTACTGAGAGCATAATGCGATTGACAACTGTCTTCGCCGAAGTGAACTTCCTAGGGAAAACATAAGAAAGGGGCTACTAGACCTTCAAATTCATTTAAGAGCTCTGAGTCTTTAGCATCTGAACTAAGAACAAGGTAGACAAACTAAATTTCCATGCTCAGCCACTAACTACAGAGGTCTTTCTTCTATGACATTTGAGTGTGAGGTGCCCCCCAACGAAATTAGGACTACCCTTTCCCTATTTATCCACAATCATCACGGATGCGGAGCTTAGGATCATCTTAGAGGAAGCGGTCAGATATACTAGGATTGAAGACCGAGTAGGAAGGGAGGAAAGGTATGGACGCATTGTCATGACGCCGAGGTGGTGAATGACATTGCCAGGCGACCAAGAGGCAACCGTTTTGGAGTCTGGGGAAATCGGCACAAACACACAATTGTAAAAGAGCAAGCTTATCTCTTTGTTCGCATTTTGCGCCACAAGTCACAATTAAGCGTCCACAAAGTAAATAAATAAAAAGAATGGCCGTAACTCCCACATTCGAGATAAATAACGATACTTTATCACTATGGTTCTAATTTTTTGATCTTCCATTTCACTAGATGTCATATGAAACAGGTAAATGTGATTCAAGGTTGTCTGCTTCACCAACTGAGTTCAAAGCCGTTCCGAGAGCTACGGAAGCCTCCCCTAGGATGCGTGTAGTAGTTGGAGAGAAATGATTAAACAAATCTTTATGACGATGATACAGTACATCCTGGAAGGTTCACCGCTCAAAAATTTTAGAAACAGCATAAAATAACTGTTGGAGAAACATTTGGTACATGACTACATTAAGTGGGAGGGAAAACTCGTAATGGAAGCAGATGTTTCCCTCTTGCCATCCATAAATAACAGATAACAATGAGGATGAAAGTCGATCCGCTCGCGCTAAAGTCCTTTTATCACGGCCTGTACTTTAGGTTGTTTGCTGACTGGCTCGGGATAAAAAACAGTTTTGGTGATGTTAAACAGACGAATATATTATCGCATTGGTCATTCCCAGTCAAAGGATCCGCCTCTCAACCCGCACTTCAATGGTGCGCACCGCTTTTATAAACAAAGCACTGATCAGCAAACTGAGACTTCTTTAAAAAGGAAGAAAGACATTACTAGGCAGAATAAGTAGAGAAGGACTGAAAGGCTATCGGCGTGGCAGCAGAAAGACGACGGCGGTGCCCTTCGGTGGCCCCGCATAGCCAAAGCAAAGACGTGGGTCCTGTTGGAAAGGGACTATCCAATGCAATGTCCTCCATTTCAATGGACTTGTTGCCTTAAAAGGAAGGGAAGTTGGCACAACTCAATCCGTCTTTTTGGATTAGGCATAAACTGACAACTACCGCGAGGATTAGAATTGGTCCCACAATGGTATTTGAACAGACCTCTCGATTGCACTAGATAAAAAGGGAATTTTACGTCTCAAAAAGGCTAGAATTTGACAGTAGATGGCGTATTTTTATCAATCGGGTTTTGTCGGAACACTTGCCTAATAGCCGAGTCATTTGATGCAATGCACAATTTATAATAGCTTCTAGGAGCTAAATTTTAAATCCGTCCCGCATTATCCCTTTGTACTCGTCTTACTGCTGTCCAACCTTTTACTTGTTTTCTAATCCGCTCCCTGCATTTCCTGTGCGGTTCAGATGGGATTTATGAACGTTTCGGCATGGCTCCATCCTTTCCACTTTCCCCATCGAAACAAAATTTTATAGTCGAACGATACTACTTGTAAGCAGGGCTTCTTACCTCCGCTGATTACTCCACTTGGACTTTGAAAGATTTCGATCTAACACAAACATTAAAAGTCTCTTCCAAATCTATTCTCTACCTCCGAATGGAGTTAACTGCGACAAACAAAATTAAATTTTCTAATTAATGATCTTAGCAACCTTATCCACACCATGAATGAATGATGAATTAGACATGAGTTGAAAAAAGGCGTGTAAAGTTAGCCATTTCGTATGTCCGCCTACGCGTCCATCCGGAAGTATCTTTTCCCAAAATCCTCTTTTGCTCCACTGGGCCTAATCACCATGCACAGCCCATAATTGTAATGGAAATTGAAATTAAATTAAAAAAAAATAACAAGCCAAAGCACTGCCTTAAAATATATGTCTAGGGGGAATCTGCGGGGTCGGCATCTAAGCCACCTAACGGTCCTTCTGTTCAGACATCATTATGTTCCAGCAGGACCCGCATTGCGCCTCACTGCATTTTCTTTCACCCTCTTAAGGATGATGGAGCCATTATTTTGGTGTAAAAGGAATGCAAGAGTTTGTGTCTTTTAATCCGTTAGACCATCGCGGAGACAATCGAGGAGCCTGGAGAGAGGGAAGGGAATAAACATTCACCCTTCCCTCCCTCCCTTCCTACCTCTTAGCATTACCGCGACATCAAATCTCCCAAATTATAATCATAACAACGGTATTAAGTTCAAATCCTGCTATAGTATTTTTTTGTTTTCGGTGGTGCGCACGTGCTACCGGGATGAGCATGCACGCACGCACGCACGCGTGCATCGATCGCAACTCAGCCTACATGGCCGGGTGGAGATTGGCCAACTGACCCACATACACACACTCACCACTCACTGAGCACGTGCTCTGAGGCAGAAGGAAGTCACTCTATGGGTGCGTGCGTGCCTGCATGGGTGTGTGGGTGTGCTAGTGCGCGTCTTGAATAGAGGCAGTGTCTGGTTGTCGTTCCCAGTCTTACACGAACACTCCCCGCACTATCTATCCCCAGTCTTAATTATGCTCTAATCAGTAGCCTCACCTTACCTCACGTCACCTCGCCTCGCCTCGCCTCACCTCATCGCTCTCTTCGCCTCTCGCCTAATGGGCAATGAAACAAGCTACCCTGTGTTGGCGTTTGAGGCTCCGTCGAGACATTCACAGACTGCGGCATCGTTGCCAGAATCTCTGACATTCTGTGCTCAACAGGAGAACTTTACTCGACGTCGGGAGTCCCTCCCCTCAGAGGCTGACTACACGGACAGCTCGGATAATTCTGTCATCTCGCGGAGACACCAGTTTCCTCGATCCGCCAACATTAACAACCCCATCGCCTCGTCCTCCTGGCTTCGAACAGCTCCCGCCACCTGTGGAACACCGTCCAGTGAAAGGGGATCTATTTTGGATGTGTTGGTAAAACGGATCAGTGGTGGTGGGCAGAATCAGACCTCGTCTTCAGATGAGGATCAGACGGGCGGAACGAGAGACTTATCCTCGACTACGAGCCTTCAGGACTCGGCCTGTGAATTCTTGGAGTCTTCACAACAACTCACGGAGGAGGAGAAAGCTCAAATCAAAGATGTGTTGGACAGGGTTAAGCAGGTTGAAAATCGGGAGGCCAAACGCATTTCGTAGGTTCATTTTAAGTTAACCAATCCCTAGTGATGGAATTTTCTTTCAAAAAAAAATGCTTTTTAAGAAGTGGAGGGAAAGATGGAGGAGTTGAGGCACTGATGCGTGTGATGAAATAATGCGCCATTAAACTTACAAGAGGATGTACAAGACTTCAAGCCCTAAACCTATTGGCTGATGTTTTGGGTAGGAAAAAACCAAAGGGGCAGTTTGAATAAGTAATTTAGATTGCCTCAAAAATATTTAAAATTTATTTTTCCAAACTTGACCTTGACACTTGGATCCTATTGGTCCGAAGAGCACCAAAAACAGCGAGAATTTATCCTACCAACAAATGACAATTTTACTTATACTTCACTGAGTTGTGCTTACCGTTTTAATTACAACGATTTACTTTTAGCCTTTTTTAAAAAATAACCACCATCCAAAACTGCTTTATACATGTGCTTTTTAGAGATAGTATCTCCTGCCATAACTGTGATTAAATGTTTTAGTTATCACAGTAATTTATGGCCCTTACACACGTTCCCCTTTAATGCAGAAATATCGTCCCCAGTAAGGGATATGCTGTGAAGAGAGAGGCTATAAAATGGCATTATGGCGTTACATCTTCCCTGAATTAGTAACGGTGGGGCATGTGAATTTCCCAACCTAAAGATCGCTTTGTCATTTTAGGGATTCGGCAATCATTTCCACCTGAAAGAAGACTAGACTTTTTAGCTTCAGCATTCCACACTCTTCCCTTTTATCCTGCTCCGATTGATGAGTTCAAGACGCATAAATCACACTTCGTTATGAGTTGACGCTGGTTTAGCTCAGCATCGTTAAAATGAGAAACAAATTTGGCCATTTCGACACTTTTATTTTGTGTCACTGTATTCGGATAGCGAGTTGCCCTCAAACTGGAATTCCCACTCACTCTAAATTTGACATTTTTGTGAGGAAAAAGGATCGGTAAATGCGCAAGCAATGCTGCCCTCTGGGGAGGACGTAATAAAATTAAAAGTTGTACTTTCATCCCCCTTTTTAATTGCACCGAAGCAAAATGTCGAGCCAAAAGGTAACAAGAGTAGTTGGCCAATCATAAGCCTTGCACTTTTAGTTTCCTTTTGGAAGCCAATGACTATACTACTTAAATTGTCCTCAGCAAATAACACCGAAATGAAAACGGCATTTTACAGGAGATAGAAGGACCTCTGTCCTTCCATTCATCATAAACCATTAGACGCTTCCGAAGCTTAGCAATTATACCATAAAATATAGGAGCATTTCCTCAAATACAAATTACCATTTTCTCTGTCTAACTCCTCCTCTCCGTGCGCTCCTCAGTTTTTTTGTAAGCACTTTGTATAAAAGAGCAGTTACTCACGTGGATTACGTAAAAGAGTCTTTTGTAAAGCACAACTTTAAAATTTTTCCTATTTTTACCAATTTATTTGTCTATGTACTCATTTATTGTTTTAAATAAAAGTCATTCAAGGGATTCAACGAGGACAAAGCCAGGTGGAGGCAATAATAATTAGCGTTTTGTAGGCGCTACGAGAGCTGTGGTTAAACAATGAATTTTATAATCAATAAAAATTATAAGCTTGTACATCTTATGGAAAAATGCTTTCCCAAATATCATATATTTTATCTTTTCTTGTTGATATCAGGTGTAAAGTGAAGCAATACTGTTTTGACAAATGTAGTCACTCACCTCAGTTCCTTGACCAGGTCATGTCAAAAGTCCACACTCTTAAACAATCAACGACACGTTTTTATAAAGAAACACTGTAATTAGTTAATGGGGTTGTCTCCAAACACCCGCAGGCAAAATCGCATTCAAGATGGGTACGTTTGATGGGACCCCGAGGCTCAAAATTAAAACGTTCGGTCAGTTAAAACTTAAATTGCTGCCTTTTTGAAGGTAAATACTTAGTTTTACTTCTAAAATGTAAACAACAAATTTTGTGGTAAGATTTACGTGTATTTCATTGATTTTAATGTCCACTCAAAGTGATGGCCCAGAGGAGAGAGCCTTCCATGGATTAATTACGCCTAAAACTGTGGATACGGGCAGGAGTCCAGGTATGTGATTTAAAATTAATTTGTACTTAATTTTAAGATTCCACTTTTATTGCTAAAATGCACACAGAGAAATGTTTTAACCAATTAGAAGGAGTTTTCTCCCACTCTTTAGCAAAGATGCCCTAGTGGTGTCGTCTTGTCTTGATATCAAATCCGCACCAAAGGTACAGGAAAGTATTCTTCCTAATGTTGGAGTTGTATCAATTAACTCGGAGGCCATCCCGTTCAAAAAACACATTGACCTATCTTAGGTTTATCTGTAACCGCCAAGGATGTTTGAATCAAACAGAGACTCATGATTTCATTTGTATTAATATGGATGCTACTGTGGCATCTCTAGAACCAGCTTTAATCTAGGAGACGTTATTTAAAGGGACAAACAATAGTGGTAGCAAACACATGTGTGTGTGCATAAGGCAGCCTGTGGTGATGATCCAAGTTCCTCTGATTTACTGGAGACTTCAGGGATATTTTGTAATATAGCATGAAGAAGCATGATACCTGAATGATGTAAACGTTTCACAGACAGTCGACAAAACATCTCTACGTCTATTAGTTAAGATTCCGGCTGCGGTAGTTCTATTTGCAGTCCATAGTCTCGGTATTCCTTCAGTGTTGTGAACAATCAGCCCAGTGGAACGCCTCATCCTGGTTGCAAGATTGACGCCTTACATATAATGAATTTGCAGAAGAAGCAAAATTACCATTAATTCAGGTAAACACATGCATTAGCAAGCTGGCTTATTAATGTCGAAAAGTTGCCGTTCCTTAATTCACCAAATCTTAACGTCAAAGTGAATTAAATCGCCTGTGCAAGTCGTAGAAGTAGGTAAACGAGTGTCGTAGACAATTGCACCGAAACATAAACCCCTTTTCACTCCCCTGAAATTTTCTTCCCTTTTCCTACGCTCTTAATTCTTGTTTCAACTTAATTGTACCTCTACTCGTTCAAAGCATCTCTCAGTCAAATTTATCTGAACAAATGAAGCTATTTCTTCCTTTGGAAAACTCTAAAGCCTTTAATCTTTTCTTAATAACACCGGAGATACTGCTCTTACTGTTTACCCACTAAGTACATTTCCTAGCTTTTGAAGATGCAATTCGCCCAAAATCAGCTTTTAAGAGGAACGATGTCAATACGAAGTACAAATAGTATTCTGCAATGTATGACAGTGATCAATTTAATCACTTAATTATTTTACTGCTCCGACTTTTCATTTTTCCTACATCGAAACAGGGTTATTAATGGAAGCGTTAATTTCGTAACCTTTATTGTGACGGGCTGTTTAAGCGTTTATTTCACTCATGTAGTCATGGTAACCTCCATCAAATCAGGCATTCTAAACAAGAGGGTCATTGTTCGTTTTTGTAAAATTTATCACTACAAAGCATCACTTTTTGAGCTGTCAGGTAAATGAACTGGTTTTTATGCTCCTCATTTTGGTTGATGTTTTGTGAACTACAAATGCTTACTGACGGCAAACTACGCGATTCACTTGCCATTTAAAAACAATAGTTATTAAGCACTTTATGAAGTGTAAATTGTTTCATTCTGCTTTGCTGAAATTGTGTTTGCAATTATGTAGACAACGGAAGTCACTCAGTCGCAGAATGCAACTTCAAATGCGAATTGTGCTGCCTCACTGAAGGCAATTTTTCGCAGTTCTGAACCTTTAACCGAACCTCTCTCTGAGTTGCGGACGAGGAGCATATCGGTATTAAAATATTATTCATAGTTACCTAACAGCGTCCTAATAACAATGTTAAAGGTAGAGTCAATTACAAATGCTTTTCTTTTCTCTCAAGTTATTTAATATCTAAACATTTCTTGTTTTTTGGGACCATGAGGCTAGCGACACCACCATAATATTTTCTCAAATGTAAAAATTGAGGCAATTCTCTACCTCATTTTTTTGCTTACTGCAGCACCGCGAAAGTACTGTTTTTTTTCTGACTTGATTAGGAGGAGTCTGAAGTGGGTTAATGCTCGGTCGTGCCAATTAAGGAGCAGTCTTTAGTAGAACCTGAGACACAAATCAAATAATGTAGCTATTTTAATTTCAAAAAAGGCAAAAGCTACAAAGACGGGGTGTCAGAAATAGGATGTGCCTTACAAAAATCCGCAAAAAGCATCCACCTGACCGGGTATAGTTGGGGCTACTGTAGAAGCACTAAAAATTTACGAAATTTTCTTTTACAAACCAATGGGATCTCCCATAGGAACCACTGCTCTATAGCAAAGACGTTGGCCTGATGTTTTAGTCTTCCCTATTTAACTCATGGAATAATCGAGTGTCAAATGTTTATTCTACGATGAGTACTTCCATAAAAAAGACAATTAATTTATTTGCACGATAAGTGCACATTCAGGGGAATATGGGGCGGAGGATACATTTAAGTACTTCTTATCTACGCGCTTCTCCCCTCCCAATTTCCCTACTTGTAAAGATTTCACCCTAACCTAGCAAAGATCGTTCATCTTTGCATTGCCTCGAAATCACGGAGGACTGGAGGAAGAGGAGGAGGAGGCGACATTTGGTTAGAGGCAAGACAGACACCTCGTGGTACGCGGGTGTCTCAGCTCGGATGCATTAGCCCCTTGGCTGCAATGCAATGCGTGTGGCCCACGAAACTATTTAATTATTTATGTGACCTTTTAAGCCGAGGTGGTCAACTACATTCCATCTCGGCAAAGGAAATTGCAGTGGCTAAATAGTATACTTTTTGGTCAAGAAAGACTGAAAAATGAAGAAAAAATAGGCTGTTTTTTCCAAGGATTACGTAGTTTGTGGAGATGATTTGTTGATGAGGGATTTTTAATTAAAGTTCAAATCCAAAAACCCAAAATTCCCATTTTATTAAACGGTTTCGTGCATGTGAGAGGTATTGTTGACACAAAAGCATAAACAAAACTTAATGCAAAGTTTCAAAGGGAAAGATTGTGGTGATAAAATATTTATACCTCATTGTTAAAAAAGTCCCAATTGAAATGCCACTTTTTTCTCGGTCACGTTTGGTAAAATTTATGCGAAAAACAAATTTTGTTTAATGTGTATCTTAGTGAGGCATTTAAGTATAACTTCGTAGAAATACAACCATAAGGATCAGCGAGGTCCTCACATTTAATGACCAGTCATTAAAAAGGTGCCAATGGTAAGTGATTTTACTCGCCTACCTATCTATCAGTCTATGCAATCACCCCTCCATTCCATCTATTTGTACATACATCCTGTACCCTTCCGCACACTCATCTTGTATCCAGCCTGTTTCCTTTTACCCACTCTTCCATCTATCCCGCATCCATTCCTGCATCCTGTGTTCAGACATATAAACAGTCTTCCATTCATCTATTCATTCATCCATCCATCAATCCATCCATCTATCCGTCTATCCATTCCTTATTCGTAAATCCTTTTCAACCATCATTCCAATCATCTATCAATCCAAACACCTATTCATCCCGCATCCATCCTTCTACCTCGTATCCTTTTTACCAGTCCATCCATTTAATATCTTTCCTTTCAACCATTCATCCATCCACCTATCATCCCTCTATCTAGCCATCCATCCACCAATTCCGCACCCATTCTTCCGTTTCATATCTATCCATTCGTTCATTTATTTATTCTTCCAACCATTTATCCCATATCCTGCCATCCATCATCCGTCTATTCATTCATCCATTTATCCACCCATCCGTCCATCCATTCATCTTGTATCCATCCATCCACCCGTCCATCCATTCCGTATTCTTCCATCCATCCACCCATCTTGTGTCTTTTCATTCATCCATCCATTTACCCATCAGTCCATCTACCCATTCATCCGTCCATCCATTCATCCATTTTTCATCCTTCTCTCTATCCATCTACCTACCTGTCTATCTACCACTTATCTGTTTCCATCTCTACCTACTTATCAGTCTGTCTATCTACCTACTCAAATACCTGTCTTCATATCTGCCATCTTACCGGCTAATTCATCTATTCACCTATCCACCAGCCTACCAATCTAACAATTAGTCATCCATCTGTTTATTCATTTATCTGGCTGAAAGAAGCGCTTTTCATTCGCTTTGTTCATCAAGCCTACCCATTCGTTAGAAAGCTTTCATGAAATATGCACGACTTCCCCAAGTTTAAGACAGCGTCAATCTGCAAGGCGGAAACAATATGCGTCCCTTTGGTGGTAAGGCCTCCCTCTTTAATGGAAAGGTCAGGCGCCCATTTGCGCTGTCCATTCTTTAGTCCACCTTTAAAGACTGGGAGGGTGGAGGCACCCAACTGCTGAAATTAGGAGCAAAATAAGTGGTAAAACAACCAGACACTACTTTATGAATGCCAAAATATATGGTATCCGGTTTACCAACAAATTTTTTTTCCAAGACTACCTCACACTTGTTGAACGGATTTACCCATTGAACAGGGCGTTCCATCATCAGCAGATGGGTAGTTGAATTGGGTTCTACGACAATCTCATTGAGAGTCTGATTGGAGAGCACTTCTACAGAACTCATCAGATAGGGAAGGCAGGAAGGCTTTCCACTAGGTCGAGCCTCCACCCCTCATGGTCGATCACTGAAGCAGGTAGCTAATATCAAGCCTAAATGACTCTCAGTCCATGAGGATCAAAGACTGCGTTCCGTCCACCATTAAATGGGACAGGAGGCCACAGTAATGACGTGTTAATTGAGTCAAATCATCCCACAATTAAACGAACTTTGAGTTATCACATGAAACTCTCACCCTAGATGCAATGAGTTTTTAGGCAAATTTTTGACTCCAAATCAATTTTCATGGCTTTTAAAATGCTAGATAAGCCAGTGAGTTCTTTACCCTCAAACAAGAAGGTAACACCGACCGATTTAACCACTGATAATGTAAGTATCATTAACTCCTCACTTTCGAGCTGCCACCGAAACCTCCGTAAAACAAGAAAAAACTATCCACGGAAGTTGCGGAAATAATCTGGAAAAAAAATTTTATCGAAATTTTATTAACCTCGCTTCACAATCAGACGGAGTTTTAGACAATAGCACCGGGAAAGTGGAGTGAGAGGGACGCAGAAGTATTAACAGTAGGTAGAAAAGAGGGACGAGTTAGCTACAACTCAATTAAATGCAAACATAAAGTCCAGAACGCCCACACAATCCTGCGTAGCAATGCATCCTTGTGACGAAGAATTTATTTTTAGGTAGTAACAAACTTTTATTTTTATCACTAGTAATCTCGAACTAGAATTGCGGCAGAGAGAAGCCGAGGTGGCACGACGAGTGGTCAGCTCGGCGCAAGACATCTATGGAAGCGTCGGTGGGTGCAGTCTCTGTGATTCGCCTGCCACAGTCGAAAGGATGGAAGAAAGGGCTGCCAAATTTCGGCAATGCGATGATTGTGAACGTCGTGTCTGTCCCAACTGCTCCTTCACGATCAGTCAAAGTGATTCAAAAGTGCGTTTCTTGGTTTTTTATAATAATTTTATTTGATAGTGGATGTGATTTATTGATGTCAAAATTAATGTAGAGGTGACCTTGACAGTAACCAATGGAAAATGTCTGGGTTAATTAGTGAGTGATTTTTTTTTGTTTTTATACTATTTCCTGCTCCAATTTTTTAAAGATTAGTAAAATTTAAGGAAAATAAGATTTACACTAACAATTAAGACTAGGACGTCTTGTCATACTCATGAAGACAGTTTATAAATGAACCAGTTTACGTCTACTTAAACATAAAATCAAAAATCACACTTTTTATGAAATGCGTGAAATATTACATGCCTAAAAATTATTAACAGTTGCTAAAATTTAGGAAGCTTTTAGACAAGAAGTCTCCGAAATAAAAAACATCTCCACTTTTATTAATAGTTTTCAGTTAAGAAATTGCGTAAAATCTTTTTTGTCTGCTGAGTGGCAAGTCAAGGTGCACTTAAAGTTATCTGTGGATTACAAAAATTTTATACATTTGCACCTTTAAGAGATTTGCACCTTCTTGTGTCATGGAGGACGCCGTATTTATTATTTATAACCAGAAGCTTATTACAGTTTGAGGTATTTAAATTGACTTAGGGTAAAAAGCCGGCCAGTACTGTAGGACACTACAGCCTTTATTCCATGCACAATAGCATGAATTATGAACCAGAGCCTGGCATTTGGTTATTTTAGGGTGGATACGGCTCTATTGGGCAAGAAAGCGTTTTGTTTTTTGAGAGGCAAATGCCTACTTTGTTTCCTTTTTTACAAACAGCATATAACTTTAAAACAGATCTCATATAAATTTTTAAGGAGCTCTCTTGGGGCAGTTACAAGTAAAAAAACACTACTTGTTTGCATTGTTTGGCCGGGGCCATCCAGTGGTCAGAAGCAAAGTAACAAATGTTTGCTTGCTCCCTTCCGTTGTTTTGATAAAAGAAAATTTTGCGCAATCACTTAGAAGGATAAGCCACAAATTCAATTTCCTCGAAGAGGTGTTAATCACTTTCGGCGATTTGCATAAATTAGAAATAGATAATTAGGCCTTCGAATAAGGATGAGTTAGTATAGAAACATTTGAACTTTGCATTACCATTAAACTACGAGCTGGGAATAATTGGATGATGCTACAATATTACAAAAGAACCTAATTCAAATATACTCAATTGAAATGCCAGTACTCTCTACACTTAAATGCCAAACTATTAGACCTAAAATGCATAAACAAAAAAGTGCCAAATGTTTGTTTCAAAACACAAGACACATGCAAAACAACTTAAATTTAAACTAGAGAAAAAAAAGCTCCTTTTGATGGACACATACGCAATAGATCGGTTAGAACTGCAAAGTATCCCCTTTTTAGCAATCAGATCTCAAGAGGCTTTTTCCACTGAGAAACAAAGATTCTTTTGATTGGCGCAATTCAGCGGCTTTCTCAGACCCAACCGGCATTTAGTTAGTCGTCTCACTCTAGTGTTTGGCTTGATGGAAATGTCGCCATGGTTTGAGTGAAGTAACAAAGCAACTCCCAAACGACTAAATAAAAAGTCTACACTGCTGGAGAAACTAAAGCATTCCCAGGGTCAACCTTTATTTTCATCAGACGATTTTGTTGCAGACAAAGCCCGTGAGTCGCAGACCACAATACCGAGTTCTTGGTTCTCCTAGTTAATTATTGAGAAATATATCGGAAACTGATTTCATTAGGCAGTAGCATTTACATGCCACCCTTTTAATAATTGCTTCAAAAGTTGTATGCAAATATGCACTTTCCCTTCTAGCGCAAGCGATACTTAATGTTCCTTTAGCTGATTAAAACAAGTTAAAACTTTAAAAATACATAAAGTTAAAAACTATTTAAATTAATTTAGCAGTAACAAAGCTTTTAACGAATGATTCTGTTAATGGCAATGCGCAAAAGTTGCCTTAATTTGAAAAATCTTTATTATGGATAAATTCCTTTAGCACCTTCTACACGGAGATCCTTTAAGCATACGTTTAGCTAAAAACAGCTTAATTAATTTAGCTTCTGTAAAAAGCTTTTGTTGCATACAAAGGGAAAAGCTGCGATTTCTTTTGTTCATCTCTGGTCTTTTGTTCTGCTTTCTTATGCAAAAACAGCCATTTGATTCTAGAGGAACAGCGTTTGCTTATTTCTATTCACCCATTTATAGCACAAGTAACAGGAGCGGAGTAACTTCTCACATCATTGCAATCTAGAGGAGAAGGGTTATGTAATGAAGCATTTAAAATGGGATTTATTTATACTCACATTCCCTGCAGTTGCATGTCTGATCGTGGCAGCAAAGCTAGACAATAAAGAAACGGTACGAAGTATTACAAACTAGGCACTCACTCAAAATCAGGATTTTCGAGAAAGAATTGCAAATAAACGCAACTATGGAGCATTAATTAAGCTACCATTCGTTTCATCTATGTAGCACTAAGTTTTATGCGCGTACTTTTTGAAAATCCTTTAAGGCAACTCCCATAAGGATAAGCCAAAATGGTTAAGACGGAAGTACTAAGAAAGAATAGTGTGTGGGGTATCTCGAGCTAGAAATTGCTTCATCAGTCTGTAGAATAGAATGGGAGAAATAGAGTTCTGCTGAACCATCCTGGTTATCTACTTGACATATACCCCGGCTTAAAGGCTTTGGTTGTCTGTCCCAAGTGAAGCATGGTCTTCTCCACCAAATGTTGCATTAACCATTCCAAACGCAAGACATTAGACCAACACTAGAGTTTAAACGCCGAATAGATAGTACGTTAGGGCTTTTTCAACCACCTCGACGTTGCTGACAGCACCTGATCATCTATTTGTTTCATAGAAAAGGCATTTTTTGAGGAGAGACCGCCAGCTCTTCTCAGAATTTGGAGGAAGAGGCATAAATTTTACCCTTCATCTCCAGGCCTACGGAAGCGAAATTTTATGCCAAAGGTGTCCAGTCGATGTTGCACCGTTTCTTTGGAAACAGCTTGTGATTTCTCTTGTTTTTGTAAAATTATCCGAATTTGCTCATTTACAGCGTAACAAAGGCTTCATCAACTTTAGACGCTTAATTAATTTTTTGGTACTTTAAGTAAACGACAATCCCCTATTTCGTGATTGTACAATTTACCACAGAGTTAAGCAATCTAAGGTGCGGTGAGCAGAAATTTGGCGTGAAAGGTTTACCAGTTACCAAAAAAGATCCAAATTTTGCCCCTAAAATAAATAATTAATTACGTTCCTTAAGAGGTGTCCCGGATTGCTTATAACGGAGAAGCTTGCTAAGCGCATTTTTTTTACGGAAAGTCCTAAAAACCAACCAGTAGGTGGTGGCTCTTTGAATTTGGCATCCTAAAGATTTTTCAAAATTGTCCAAGGTTGTATGCTCTCCCCCTCTCTATTGGAGGTTCCGCGAGTGATTTGCAGTTTATGTCGAAGGAAGAGGAGACTGATCGCCACAACCGGAGCCTGGACTCAAGGAATTTCCCCCGGCGAGGATGAGGTACCCATTTCTCATTTCTTAAAGAGCTTAAAACACTACCTCCAAGTAGGTACTTGGTACCATTTTCAAATAACTGGCAAACATTTAAGTAAATTTAGGTAAATTACTCCAAGCTGCCTCAAAATGGCACTTTAAAAGGGCGAGCCAACCTTTTTGGACTTTTTTGGAAGGTCACTTTATGAAATACACCACTTCCGATCCAAAATATCAATGACTGGTAATTTGAAGCATACTGTCAAATATAGGCGGATTAAAACAAAAAAATGAAGTGGGTAAAATCTATTAGAGGCATTAAGGGGAAAAGCGCATGAAGATAAAACTTGTCGGAAATTTACCCTTCAGTGTCAAATATGGTATTTTTTATGTTTTTTGTTAACGTTTGTTAGACATTTATTTTATCAGAGAACGGCTAGTCAGATTTGACATTTAATTTGTTCAGGGTTTGAAAAAAACCACAAAACGTTCTTTGTGAAGTTTATCCAGCTGCCTATTAGTTGCTTATCAGCAGTACTATCATCAAAACAATTTCTTTTTAAATATGTAATCATTTAATCTGTTTGGTACATGAGAAGTATTACTGAAAACCCAAATATTATAAGCAACGAGGCCTTCTCCGGTGTTTTCAGCACAGTTTTATGCCTCAAATACTTGCATTGGTATTGTTAAATTCCTTGCCGGTAATTTTGTGCTTGAGATTTTCCCGTCGATTAAATTTTGTCGGACTTAGCATACCTCCAAAAATAGTTTTATTACAGAGGTACTGGGTTAATAAAAGCACTGATGACGAGGGCAGATCTGATTGCATTTACGGCTCCTTGGCAGAACTGAGCACGGGCTCTTCCATCTAACACAAGATGCATGTATTTAGTTTAGATTGAACCGCTCGTTTAAACAAGCACCTTGCTTCTTTTACATTTTCACTGATTTCCCATGTGCTTTAATGGCACTTCTTGTACGAATGGAAGGCTTTATGTCAGTAACGAGTGCAAAGGTTTCGCATGTCAAAAAGCTCCAACAGTTGTAATTAGACGGCCCGTAAAAGCTCTTCGATGACAGCGTCAAGATTTTTCACTCTTTTGTCTACCCCAAACATCAAGTCTGAAAGTTGGCTTGCAATTCTAAAATCTGTTATCTGTTATTCTTGCCATTTTACAGTTTAGTAGTAACATAAAACATGCTGCCCTTCCAGTTTAATCCCTCTGGATAGTCAATTTCTTCAAGGGCAACCGCAAAGGCGGCCAGATCTACAATCGTACAGAGGCGTTGGCGGTCACCCTAGACAGCAGTAGAATGGAACGTTTGCACACACTTTGGCAGCTTTCCAAAGACTTATTTTTTTTACTTCCTCCAAGTTACCACCCCCGACAATTACGAGGGCGCATAGCTATGGGGGCTACGGGGACTTCTACGACACCAAATCTGTTTACTCTCGATGGAAGGTCACTGATAAACGTCTTTCAACTCCCAAAATCACCATCGCCAACCTCTTTAAGCGCCCAGGTGAGTTACACCAAAAGGTTATATCCGTTTGACGTCTGCTAGACGTCGGTGGAATTACGCTGACGTCTAGTGGTGGTTAGTTATGCTTTGGGGGTAAGATGAATTGGGTGTTGTTGGACTGCGTTAATCCGGATGCAACATTCCACGAGAGAATTAATTTTTCGAAAAAGTATTTATTGAAAATTTTTGAGGCTTAAATTGAAATTCGAGGCTCAGCCCTCTAATTGCTTTGTATGCAGCGCCTTTCAAAGTCCCACAAGGCAAGATAATTACCACCTATCAAACGTGCTCTCTCTAAAGCTGAGTTCAAAGCCTATTATTTCCTGTTCAGGCCAAATATTAACCAAGAAGACAAAGGATTCTTCATTTGGACGAATTTTTAGTGAGCTGATTAAAAATGCCGCCAATTTTTCACCGTCCTCACAGGCTATTGGCTAGTCAAACGGCTGATGTTAATGCTTTACAGAGAACATGGAGAAGAACAAAAGTCCACGAATTGATTTTTGTAGAAAATTTTTCAAATGCTACTAAAATTAATTTGTTTGGGTTGGAAGATAAAGTCTTCAGCGGGACTGTGGGTCCATTACATCCCACCTTCCAACACATGGGGAGTTGTGCCGACTCATTGGATTTCAGCTGACGCTAACGAGGCATAGGGAGTCTTATGGCCATTAGAGTAACCCTATTTAACCAAGAAGGTTGCCATCTGTGATATTTATGAGCAAGTATAGTAAAAGTGTATCAATGAGTCCTCCAAGAAAATGATTAGGCGTGTAATTCTTAGTGGGGCGGGCCCTATGGAACTGAGTTATTTATCCCAACCTTGGAGAAATAAAAGGTCATGGATATTAAAGAACACTTTAAAATTAATGTTTTCTTATAGGTAACCTCTCTTTTCATCCAAAGTCATTCCTTAGCTTTCGCACCATGGGAGGTGCTTTGCTTAGCTTTGGTTGTGGACAAAGTAGTCGATGGGATAGTAAAAACCAGCCACCACCGTCAGCTATTAATGAAAGCCAAAGGGAAATCTAACCTTAAAATCAGCAATGCAGGTCCTGGATTTCAATGTACCCATGTGTTGTTATTTCCACAAATGTATGCATGGCTGAAGTTGGAAGTTGTCTGAAGCAGGACTGCCGAAAAATCGCCATTATTCAAACATTATGCGCAATTAGAAATGCTGTGAACACTCATTCTTCCCTGCCTCGTTGAACACGAGGTAAGAATTGCCAAGAGTAGGTATTGGCTTCGACAGACCCTCTGCACCGGAATTTGAACCACCGCAATCGGTGTAGCGCCTGAATCCCTCCTGAAGGTGTTGAAAGGTAAACGGGCCTGAGCGCTACCCGACAAGAAAGATTGCCGAGCTGTTAGCAGGAGTGACATTAAGATTTTGACAAGACCAGTACAATTACCACCCTCAGATAAATGTACTAATACAGTTCCCTCTTAAACTGTCTAATGTGTCAACTATCAACTTGACTGTCAACTAGGTTGCAGGCGTTGAGACACCTCTCAACAACTCTGCATTAGCACCAACTTTGACTGAAAGAATGCTGTACTGGGCGGGAGAAAGTTAACCGGGCTTTAGGGACAGATCTTGTAGGCTTAAGTGCCAGAAAAAATTAAAAAGAAATCCAAAAATGTGATTTTAATGATGGAAATTAATAATTTTAGATCCCACACACCAAACTCAGGGTGTCCTCCTCCCAACCATCACAGTTGACAGTCCAAAAAGTCTTCAATTTCCCGACGTAATCGTTACACAGGAGGATCTTCACTTGCACACATCCCAGCCCACTGTCAACGGGTTTGATGAGGAGGAGAACTTACCCTCCAGTGACAGTGAGTGCCCTGACACTGAGGGGGTCAAGTCACTCTTCCTGCCCAACCGCATCTCTCCCTCCCACGTCAGCTCCTTTCGTGAACCCTCTGCAGCAGATTTTGATGATCACAGCCACCTTCCCTACACAGATAAAATGATGGCTGTCTATTACAGCGATCCGTGGGGTTACTACGGTCAGGTGATGATGGATGCTAACAAAGCTGACGAGGCAGTAGAGCAAGAACATGGAGAGCTTTTCCAGTTAGAGGATCCGCCTTTCGGCCCGATTTCAGAGGAGGGAGAGGAGGAGATGGGTGAAATGAAGTCAAGTTTTTCTGACACCTCTGTGACCACTACAACTCCCTCAACCTTCAAAGATTTGAAATCAACCTCTAAACTAATCTCTCGACATCACTCTCTGGAAGGTATTCCAAAGATCCGGCGGGTGTTGGATCACAGTTTTTCTTATCCCCTTCTGGTAGCATTTACCTCAAATGATATCCTTCTACCTAAAGTGCCTCGAGACATGCCAAATTTTGTCCGTTGTGAAATTTTGAGTCCGCTTAAAGGAGGTCTCCACCTTAAGCCAATGTTGGTATGCAGAGAGGTTAGTATTCAACGAGTCCAAGTTGACGACCCGCCGGAAATACTTGTGGATACTCCCCTTCAGCGGGTCTACGCAAATGCAAATTGGAATCAGAACAGTCCTAATGAGGAAGAATCGGTGCGGATCATTGTAGCCGACGCTGACGAGGAAGAGGATGAAGACGAAGACGGTGAAAGTATTTTTGAGGATAGAGAAGCGAAAGCAGAGGTGACAGTCGGATTCTCACAAATCCGTCGGTGTCGACACTTTGAAAATATCAACCAGCTAACTGCTACGGGAGGGAGTCCACTGTATCCGGTAATGGAAGAGGAGAATGGCCTTGAAAGTGACCTCTGTTTAAACAGTCCTATTATCTCCGATGGACAAACAATTCACCGTTGGGGTCGCGAAATCTCACAAATCGTAAGTCCAAGATAAGTGGTTAATACTCTGACCTTTTCCGGGTTTACAAAACCGGTTATTGTATACGAGGAGGTAACTCAGGGGTCCCACTGCCGATAGCTGGTGTCCACTTCAGTGTCTACATTACTCAAGGTGGCAAGGAAAGGTAGTGTGTACATGGAGGAAGGTGTAATGATGATGAACAAGGACCTCAGATTTTAAATGCACGGATAGTTAATTGTATCCGCAGAAGACCTTAAGTACTTGATGGGGCACTCTGGGCCTCTTTCCAGCCCACTGCCTTGGATTTCCGATTCTGGTTCGCTAAGCAACGTCCAGCATGTCGTATGGCAAAGCCGCACAGAAGACTAATCTTTTTATTCTGCCCCATAGTACCAATTCCAGGGTCCAATTTTCACTGAATAGGCGACGACAAGGGTGTGTTTTACTGGCTTAGAAAAAACTAAAATGCTTCTCTATTTCAAGGCGCAATTTTTCTAGCCCTTTTATCAGCTTGCATTAGCGGGTGGCATAAAAGCAGAGTGGCCGAAAGAGGCGAGTGAAATGTGACTGAGGAATACGAAATGAACTGTCTAGACTGAACTGCACTACTTGGGTAAATTTTTCAACACCAAAAATTTGTTTACAACATCTTTAAAAGAGCTTGAGGAAGGTTGTTTTCACACTGTTGTTTTAGAGAGTCCAACGAGGGAGTTTCCTTTTTCTGCACGCGGTAGCCAAATAAGTTTGTCAGTTTCTCCTTAAGCCAGATAAAATGACTTCAGAAGGCACTGAAACCTGTTTCATTTTTGCCTCCCGATGAAACATCAATTGAGTTGCGAATTACACTTGCATATAGAACGTTTTGTCTCCAGAGGGCTACAACGTAGCTCAAACACCAGCTACCTTCGTGCCTATCATATTAGGAAAATACACGGGATGAGGTAGAGTGGGAGTGTGGGGTGAAGGTTTGTTATAGGGTCTTCTTAAAGGTGAAATTAGCAGTATAAGGTCATGCGCTGTCTTATTTTTTCCTCACCTTATTCACTGATTGTGTCCATCGCACGTGCTTACGAAGGAGACAGTTTTTCCGTGCTCACAGGATACATCAGGCTGATCTTAGCCATAATTGTTGTTTGGTCAGTAGCAATTAGGCAATTTACAATGAATGTCTCTTTCATTACACTCTTCGGAGATGAAATGGTCTGTGTCGTAAAAGCGTGGGGTGGATGGTGAAAG